ACCCCGGCAATAGCCCACTCAATGGCGTTGCCCAAAACTCCAGTGAAGGCTTATCTCCTTGTGGTTTCGCCCTTTTGTAGGAAGGGCCCGGTCCCTCCCTGATCTTCAGTCAGGAAGAGCAGGAGCTCCCTGGGCGGTCAGTGCCGCCTGCTTTTATGTAAGCAGAGCTCTTTTGCCTGCGAAGGATTATTTGGGATTTCTCCAGCTTGGCTGGGCATAAATATGCTTCACCCATGACTATAGATTTTGGTCACGAGGATGAAGAAAACCCCTCAGGGCGCAGCAGCTGCTGCTCCTGATACAGCCTCTCCTGTCAGCGCGCTCTTGCTCAACCCCAATTTAAATCAGCACCAGTCCTTGCTCAGAGAGGTGCGTGCCGCTAATAAGGCAGGGATTAAACAAAAGCCAAGAAGCCTCCCCACGGAGGGAGCCGGCAGGGAAAGGCCGGGGAGCAGCAGCTGCTGAGCCCCTGTGGGGACCGGGTGCTCCGTCACGAGATCCCAGTCCGGCCCCCGGGGTGCTGCAAGCGGCCACGACCTCGGCCCCGCAGGCTGCATGGCCCCGGTGGGTTTGGTAACGCTGCTGTAACGGCTCTGCTGCCACAGCTGGCTCTTCCTCACCTCTCCGTGCCTGTGAAGCCAGGGGCACGAAGCCCCGCGGGTGATCTTGCAGAAAGGGGAGGTGGCGTTTCTTCCTGAAATCCCTGCGTGTCCTCCCCGCGTCTCCTGGGTGCCTCTTGGCTGGCGATTTTCCACATCTTTGTTTTTCCAAATAAGCAAGAGACACAGACTGAAGCACAGGAACCTCTGCAGCATGATGGTTAGGGTACAGGGAGCTTATTTGTGCCTGTGTCTGCTTATTTTCCGCTGCATCTCCGGCCACCCATTAGCCTTCAACCACAGCTGCCCTACAGCACAGCTCCCGAGCTGCCGCTATCGCTAGGTTCATGGCTTCGGAGATCACAGCCCTCAATTAGCCACACGCTCCATCTCCCTCACCTCCTACGCCCTCACTGCTGTGTTTTGAGTTTACCTTGCCACGTGTAAAGTGAGTGGAGGCATGGTGGACGCTCGAAGAAGCCCCAGCTTCCTTCATCACCTTGCTCCTCGCCTTCTGCCCTGAAGTGAGCCGCTTAAACCTCCTGCTCTTCCAGCAGATGAGATTTACCCCCCACACACTTTAGTAAGGGAAAAGGGTGACTTGCACGCCCCTTGGCTGAAAGCAGCACTGAGGATTTGGTGTCATCCAGCAGCCAGGCAGCTGCCGAGTCACCCCCTGCATGCTCAGGGGGCTTGGAGACACGAGCAGATCCAGCAGAGAAGCTACCTCCAACAGATTTGGAGAGACATTGTGATGCTGAGAGATGCTGTGAGCAAATTACAGCAAAACTTCCCTTCCTGCACATTTCTGGAAGCAGTTGCCACTGGGGCACATGGGCTCCTCTTGCCTTGCCAGCTGCTCTGGGAGCATTTGGTCCAGTGGGAGGGAGGGAGGTGCAGGCAAGGTTTTATTTAAAACACACATGGCCAACACCACCCGATGCTTTTTATCGCCACAGATCTCCCCAAAACAGGACGAGATCTTCCAAGGATGGGCAAAGATGTGGTTCGATTGTGAAGTTTTTATCTGAAACAAAATAAGCAACATAATGACATGCGGTGGGGAGAGACGATGGGCTCCAGCCCATCAGTTAATTTAAGCACAGCCACAGCTGAGGGCTGTAAAACCATAATGTAAAAAGGAAGCCGCAGATGCCCAGCAATCAGTACTGATGTTTCTGTTGCTGGAAACATCATGGGACAAATGGATATTTTATGAGAAACTCCAGAAAATATGTAAAGGAGTCACTACAAGTAGTTTAATCAATATATCAGTGTACTATAATTGCAAATGAGGCAGAAGAACAAGGAGTAAGAAGAAAAGATACTGAAACAAATGCCGTTACAGAAGAAACTTACAGTATTCAATAGTTTATTAGGGTGAGAGTCTTTTTACCACAACTGAAAAAATACCATCAGATACATAAAGTAATAGAGTTTAAAAAGTTTTAAAATTAAAAAAAAAAAATCAGTTTTAAAATATTCCACATATTTCATTAGTTTTTCATCATTTCCTAATGAGATATTGTAATCATGTCATGGTTTCAAAGCAAAAGATGCTGAACACCCACATAAGACCTTCTGATTTGTCTTGCTTAAGCCAGTCTTCTGGACTCCATTCTGAAGAGTGTGCATCTAACCTGCAAATGCATACGGCGGGATTCCTTTCACCCCCAGCCCAGTTATCTGTCAAAAAAAGAGAGGAAAAAAGAAGATAAATGCAATGAGTCACCACTGCCAAACATTTGCTTTTCTCTCAAAACCAGACATTCTCTGATTTAGAAAAGGACCGTGTCCAACTTGACATACTGCTGTATACTGCAGCTCGTCACAGCCTGGAATTTCAACCTGTGCTCCTTCTCTAAAGCTAAGTAATCACAGGCCACAGTCTGTTCCTCAGTCCATCGACCATTCCCCAAAAGCCTCTTCTCAGATACTACTAAGCCTTAATTCTGCAGTTTACAATGTATGGAAGACTAGGGCTTTGAAAAAACAATCCCAAAGTGACATTTTTTAAAGAGAGAATTTAGTTAAAACTAAGTAGAATGTAAATAAAAGCAGACGTTTTTATCTGCCATTGTTTAGGACACAAAACATGCCATGTTTCTTCCTGTAACAGACAGAAAACTCCCTCTTGGGAGGGGGAGCAGTAGAAGGAGGTGATGGCACAGAAACTTTGCAGTATCAGCTGCAGCATGCCACATATTGCAGGACCTACAGGGCACTTCTTGGTCCATTTTACTTGCTAGTATGGATGTGACCAGTTAAACATTTCAAATCAAAAAGCATTTTCAAATCTCTGGTATATCTGTATCTCTCCATCTGCAACAGGAACCAAGAATATGAAGAATAGCTTAATGTGTATTATTGATGTCTTGATGACCACCCTCTTCCTGCTTCCCACCGCTCTGACTGGTTTGTTGTCTAAGCGCAGGAGGAGAAGGGCTTTGTGAAGTGAAAGGGGGAAGAACCATTCACCTTGAAAATCCCACCAGCCTGTGGCTGCCGTGAAAGCCACTCTTTATCCATCCCGTCGCGGGCAGAAGTCACATACATTTCGGAATAATCTTTTCCTCCGAAGCAGCAGGAAGTTGTCTTGTCAACAGGAAGCTTCACAGTCTGGATCCTTTTTCCTAGAGAAAAACACTCACGCTGCTTCTTGTTTGTCTGCTTACAGCAAGGGATTTAAACAAATTATTGCAAATAACCAACGTGGAGCCAGGTGCTCCACAAAAAGGAATCCCAGGGCCGAGGGAGGGCTCCTGCTGTGCCTCAGCATACTGATGAGCACGGCGACAAAGCAGGCAGACTTCTGCAAACCACCTTGTTGTTGACCGTGTATCACTTGACAAGTTTCAATCTCAGTTATCACAAATGAATCCCGCCCCAAAACCCAGCATGTCCTCTAATTAAATGCTAACATCCACAGCACAGACATCTACATCTGAGCTCATCATCTAGGCTGCCCATACAGGCAATGGAAATGGGATTTAATTCCTCCTTAAAACAGGTCACATGAAACACGCCCCAGACCTGCTGACTTCTCTATTTTAACTACAAAGGAAGCCTGGAGCGAGCAGAGCTCGTGCAACTCTCACTACGCCTCTACCGCCTGAAGTTAGGGAAGATTAATTCCTAGAAGATTTTCTTGAAATTTCAATAGCCTTTCAAATTAAGCTTGCATAAAATAGGGATCATGGGACACGTCTGAAGTTTACAAAAAACTCGGGGCAACCATAAACAATATTATGCACTTATTATACAACAAATAACTACCATCCTAATGACAGTAGTAAACAGATTGCCCCTGGCATCAACCTGCAGATTGCTGAGGCACTTCAAAGCAAATTTTTCTAAAATTCCTCCCAAACCTGGGCAATACAATAATGGCTCGTACCCATTATGCCTGCTTTATTTACCTACAATTGACTTTCTCTTTCTGGAAGTACACTAAAGCACATGAATACAAAAATATTATATATTCATTTTTGTATTCATGTGATCGCATACAAAAAATATGTGAAATATGTGATCTCATACAAAATACGTGATTTCCCTGGCCCCTCACTTATGTGTGCAGAAGGCTTGGTCCCTTTACAGCAACTGACTGGTCAGTGGCGTCTTGAAACAACGGGACAGAAACTTTGATAATGGGAAGAAGAAGAAGAAAAAGAAAGAAAGAAGAAATGGAAAGAAGAAAATGGGAAGTTTGGTCCACTTAACACGTTGTGAGAAGTTTTTGGTCTGCTCCAGAGCTGGGCACTATTTCCCAGGATGTGTTTATCGAAGTATCTACCCTTGTCTTCCCTTTTATGTGCCCCAAACCTTTTGCCTCACCCAACACGCTGTGCCTTGGCCTTTTGCAATGAGCAGTGAAGGTACAAAAGCACAGCCCAAATGGCTTCACCTGTACCAGATCACCAAGCAGGGCACAAGCACAGGGCCACACTACCGAGCTGCTAGTGCAGTCCTGGCACAGTTTCGGCTCAGACCCCACAAGTTGCTGCTCACCATGAACAGTTCGGGCTCTGGTTTGGTGTGGGAAGACAGCTTGGGTGTGCAACATAAGCTGCAGGACTAAGGGAGGTCTCCTGATCCATTTCACTTGCTAGAAGGAATGTAACCAGTCTATCCAAAACTCGGGGCTGAGAAGGACGAATGGAATTGCCTTTGTCTTGCTGAATGCCCTGACACATGGGCTGGGTACTTTTAATCTGCCTTGCTTTTAACTCCAAAATAAATTAAAGAAAATAGCAAGCCAGCTGCGGTGAAAGAGCTTCTTGTACATAATAGCCAGGGAAGTCTGACTTTGGGATTCCTGGTGTTGTATAACAAGCTTATTTGGCACTGACCCACCCACAACAGCCAAAGTACAAAACAAAAGTAAAGAAATAAAAAAAGTCACAATCACAATCAGTGTAATGCTGCTCAGAGTGTCAGAGATTATAGACAGATCTGGTTACCTCCTTTTTTCCCCTAAGAAGAGCAAAATATATAGAAATATGTAGAAAACTGGGAGAGAGCAAGTCCTGTCCGCTGCTTGGGAATGATGAGGACCAAAGCGAGCTCCAAGGCGATGCTCCTGCCAACTGGCACCCGCAGCACTTTGTGGTTATCCAGTCAGCTGGAAGTAGAGGGATTACATGGCTGCATGGGTTACACGGTGTCTTATACAACACTCCAGAGGCCACCCTAGCAATTGGCTCACAGCAAGTCTGGGCAAAAAGGAGCAAGAATGGCATTCAGAGAGAGAAAACGTGCTGTAGGAGAAGAGGCATGAGCCCCTGAGATAAGGGGAGAGACCCTGACTGTGCTTCCAGAGAGGTCTCAGCAAGGACAGCCTGGAAGGTGTTGTTTACAGAACTCTGAGATGGGCATCATCTTCCTGGAGATGCCAGAAAATCTGCACCTGAGAGATTTTTCATGGAGTCATCTTCAAACCCATCTGGTTCACCTCCCTAAGCAGTCACAGTTCCCTCGGAATTGTGCAAAGTTCAGATTTCACAGACTACTTCAAAAGAAAGAAGGCTCCTTCTGACGTGGACACGCAGCCTGTGAAACTTCTTGCTGCTGTTCGCCGTGGGTGCTCAGGGCTTCACGTGGTTTAAGGGAGACAGGACAAGTTCATGGATGAGAAATGCACTGGCAGTTAGAGGTGCACCAGACACCACATCCAGCTCAGAAAGACCCTGAGATGAAAACAGCAGGAAGCTGGGAGAGCATTAAGCTGTGTACCCCACTTCCCCGGTTCTTACACTCTTCCTACACATCTGCTTGTGGACACTATTGCTATTGGCTTTCCCCTAAAAAAACACCTTACCTCCTTCCAAAAACGGTGCAGGAAAGGGAAGAAAAATTAAAAAAAAAAAAAAGTGAGAGCCTACAAGGAAAAAGGTACAAACAGAGAACCGGGGAGGAAAATGGTAAAGTCCAGTGCTCTGTGAGGGCATCCACAGGGCTGCTGGAGCTTGCCCAGGTGTGCTCTGCCCTCTAGAAGGAGGGACCAGGAACAGGTCCCAGAGCTGCTGGGATCTCCCAGCTGAAGCTTCATCCTACCAGGCCTGTGGAGCAGGCTCTGCAGGACAGGAGGAAGTCCCGCAGGCTGGCAGGGCCCTGGATGGGTATAAATAAAACGGCGATGGGAAAAACACTGCCTGAGCCTCAGTTAAGAGGCTCTGCAGAATTTGGAAGAGAGGTGGCAGCCTGACATGTGTGCCGGGGTCTGCAGCGTGCTGTGGCAGGGGCACACACCAAGGGAAGCTGGCAACCCTGAGCCTGCAGCCTCACAAAACCCCGCGACTTCTGTTAGGGCAGGACCTGGGTTCAAGAGACCCCAAAAGCAGCTCTGTGCAGCCCGTGCTGTCTGGAATCTGTCAAAACCAAGCTTCCATCTCGCAGACAGCGTGGTGCAGTCTCTCTCTCTCTCTCTTTACAAATGTTTATACCCAGACTAAGTCATGCCTGGCAGACCACCAAAGTTGAAATGGGAGTAGCAACACGTGACGGGCTCAATAATGTCTTGGGTGTGCCCAAGACACATTACTGTGGGAACGATAAAATGCCACCGAGTCTATTAAATATACTTTTATGGTTTCAGTTGCAAAACTTACCATGTAAATAATTTTCAGTCATAAAAAAAAATGTTGCTGGCATCAGTGGCATGTGCGACTTGTATTAACTTTAGTAAAATAGCCCAAAAAAACACCACGCTAAAAAAAAAAGCAAGACTTGAAATGGCTTAAGTCGTCTTTGAAATTTTGTGGCTTATCTATATTTTTCCAAGTCTCTTACCATCAATATGGTGAACACTGGACACGAGAGGATGCTAACACTTTGACAGATGCAAGAGGATGTCATCACGGGTATCTGCTATTAAGCATCCATCCGGGTTTGATAGCATGGCTGAGCTATTTGATAGGCAACCAGAAGTCTTTGGATCATTTGCCCTTATCTTTATGGCAGATGTCAAGTTCCCAGGCATAAGCTGGGAGTATCATACAGCCACAAGCATGCTGAAGGTAATTTTCTGTCACAGGTACTTACTGAGGAAAAGTGCCCCTCCTAAACCTGTTGTTTGAGAACAGAAAAGGCCTCGTGGGAGAGGTGACAGCAGGTGGCCTCTGAGTTGGAGGACTGTGACAGGAGGAGCAATGTCTTTCCATCTGTGGCCACCAGAACTGTAAGGGACCAGCTGTATCAGCTGAATGTTCCTAAGTCCACGTGGCCTGATGGGATTCACCCCAAAGTGCTGAATGAGTTAGCAGATGTTACAGCTGGGCCAGCCTCAACAATTTACTAAGGGTCTTGAGAGGCTGCAGAAGTCCCTGCTGACTGGAAGCTAGCCAGCGTTATACTGATCTGCAAGAAGGGTATGAGAGAAGACCTGGACAACTACAAACCTGTCAAAGCTCAGTCCCTGGAAAAGTCACGAAGAAGATGATCCTGGGTGCTATCAATGGGTATTTAAGGAGCAAAGCTATTATCAGGCTTAGTCAACATGGGTTCATGAAGAAAAAACCCTGCCTGAGTAACCTGATCTCCTTCAACGATAAGGTCACCTCCTTGGTGGATGAAGGGAAGGCAATGGATGTAATCTCTCTGCATTAGTAAGGCCTTTGATACCATCCCTCACAGCATCCTGGACAAGTTATCAACTGTGAGACAAACCAGTACATGCTGTGTGGTGTTGGTGCGGCCTCACCTTCAATACTGTGCAGTTCTGAGCTCCACAACATAAAAAGGGTGTTAAGGTATTTGGAAGTGTCCAGAGCAGGGCAATGTATTGGGTCTGGCTGGAATGTTAACTTTCCCAGCAGCAGCCCATACAGTGCCGTACTCTGCAGTTGTAGCTGGAACAGCAGTGTTATCACACCAGTGTTGTGTCTGCTGCTGAGCAGCAGTGGCACAGTATTAGGCCTTTCTCTAACCCTCTTAGGGGGTGGGCAAAAGGTGAGGAGAGAAACATCACTAGGGCAGCTGGCCTAAACCAATCAAAGGGATATTCCATACCATGTGATGTCACACTCAGCAATAAAAGGTGGAAACAGGAAGAAGAGGGGAGGGGTGGGCTCTCGTTTGGAAGACGTCGGTCCTCCTCTCGAACACCGGCTGCGTGCGTTGAGGCCTTGCTTCAAGGACGTGACGTAATTTCTTTCCTCTGCACTTCCATATAGCCTTCATTTATTTTGTTTGTTTGTTTTCCTCCCTTCTTTTTATTTTCCTTTTTTTCCCCTCCCTTTCCCCTTTCCCTTTTTATTTCCCCTTAGTTAAATTGTTAGTTCATGGTAGTCTTTATTTAATTATTATAATTATTTCCCTTTAATTAAACTATCCTTATCTCAACCCGTGAGTTGTTCTTTGCTTTACTTCTCCCCCTCCTCATCTAAAGGAGGGGGAGTGAGAGAGCGGTTGTGGGGTTTAGTTGCCCAGTACGGTAAAACCACCACAGGCAACAAAGCCGGTAGAAGGGCAGTAAGGCCTGTCCTGTGAGGAGGCTGACGACACCCAGGCTACCCAGCCTGGAGAAAGGAGGCCAAGAGGCGACCCCAGTGCTCTCTGCAGCGTCCTGAGGAGGGAAGCGCAGAGGGAGGTGCCGGTCTCTGCTCCCTGGGCACTGGTGACAGGACACGCGGGAACGGCACAGAGCTGTGCTGGGGGGTCAGGCTGGGATTAGGGAAATCTCTTTAGCATGAGGGTGGTCAAACCCTGGAACAGGCTTCCTAGAGAGGTGGTTGCTGCCCCTGCCTGCCAGTGTTCAGGAGGCATTTGACAATGCCCTCAGTAATGTGCTTTAACTCCTGGTTAGCCCTGAAGCGGTCAGGCAGTTGGACTTGATCATCTTTGTAGGTCCCTTCCAACTCAACTATTTATTCTATTCTAACACATAAAATGGCAATCCCTCTCAGCAACTTTATCTTTTCCAACATAACCAAGGCTTGGAACAATGGAGGCTTATTTACGAAGCGAACTTTTAGGAGCAGAAACATAAAACTGCTAAATAAAAAGAGAAAAAAAAAATTAAAAAGAAAAGTCGTACCATTTCTGTATGGAGGCAAGAAAAAAAAAACTTACTCCTTGCATTTTTTTTCTTTGTTTGAATTCTGCAGAATTCAAGTCCACCCTTTGCAAGGGCTTACCTGTCTCGGGGTCAAGACGAATCACTCTTCCACCATCGTAGCAAGCTACCCAGAGTTTGCCTTCCGTATCAATGCACATCCCATCAGGAATGCTCTCCTCTTTCTCCAGTTTGTATACACTCCTGCGGTTGTCTGCAACATAGAAGAAAAAAATACAACAAAATTACACAGTGTAGTTCCTTTTGTTGATGCTCTTTTCTACTGCACCACTCATGTTCCCTACTCACAATATCAAATAAGTAACTGAATAAATTAATATTATATATATATATATATATATATATTCAGGACATGAACTATGTATTCTAAAAGTAGATTGGACTTTTCCAAGTATGAGTTGCTTCCAGTCAGAGAAATTGAACTTTCAAACAGAAAAGACTTTCGAAACAGATTGCTGGAACGTGCCAATAATCACTGGTCCAACACAAAGCTGACCTTCAGATATATAAACTGAGAGTTTATATAAACAGAGAGTTAGGAAAAGCATCAACATCAAAGGCACACTGTCAACTTAAAAACAAATAGTTCTATCTGAACTTTTATCCACTGTTATTAAAGAAAATTAAAACCAACTTTCCAACATTGTTTATTTTATGCTCTGACAACTTCAATGTTTCTCATATGTTGCAATACTTTTAATGAGTTTCCCTTGTGCTCCTAGGGATTATCAGATTGCCCACGGAAAAAGAAGGGGGGGGACCACACCACTTCCTAAAGAAAAATTCAATTGTAAACCAAAAAACATAGCAGAGGCACCAGGACAAGATGCTATACCAAAAATAACTCTGAATTCACACTGTTAAAGCTAACTACATTTGAAATTTACAGGGCTCTTTTAAAGCAAAATTCTGCAGCCCATGTATTCAAAAGCAATTTCTTAGTCCAAGTCACTGGAATTTTCTTTTGCCCCAGCTTGTAGAAGCCCTTAAGGGCGTGTTTTGTTTTGTTTTAAATAAATGAAGGAAGAAGAGCTTTGAGTTACTGCTCTCCAGTTGTTGCTTAGCTCTGTCTGCAGGATCTTTATTTAAGAGCTGAGGTTTTAAAAAACAAAATAGGGTGAAAAAAAAATCTAAAGAAGCACAGCAGAGGTATTGCAAAAGTCAGACTCATGCAGCCACAGAAATCTAACCATCTACAAAATCTAACAAGAAACACTTTGCCCTTTTTACACAGGAAGATCAGATACGCATCATGTTTAATAACAGCACTCCAGACTACTACTCAAACTCCATCATGTGATTTAAATATTTTATAATGTTAGCAACAGCTTCTGACTAGTTTGAGATGGCAGCCTATGTGGGCACAAACGAGTTTTGATATGGCTTCTGCTCCTTTGTTCTACAGAGGATTCTGAAGAAGTGCTCTCAGATCTCAGATCAGAATTCATCTTCTTGGTAATAACCACTATGAAAACCAACACCACAATCTTCAAGTGCGTATTTTAAAATAGGACAATTCATACCAATTTTTCCAGTTTGGATATCATAATCAAAGGCATCCACCGAGTAGGACAAGCTGTCAATGTAAAAGAAGGTTTTGTGATCCAGCGACCAGTCCAGCCCATTAGAAATGTCCACCCGATCAAAGTGCTTCACTACGGAGAGGTCGGGGCAAAGTGTATACAGAGAGCCTTGGTTCCTTTCCAGCACAGCAGGTCGAATCTCCTCAGCCATCGTACCTGTGTGGAGACAACGGGGAGGAAAGCATCTTCAGAGTGAGCAGGCTCTCCTCAGGGTTTGCAGAAGGAAGGGGGGCTTCAGAAATTCAGGGAAGAAACAAAAGAGAAAGGCAGATTTCAGAAGTGCTGCACTTAGCAGATTTCAACACAGAGCCTTTGTTTTGTCTGTTGAACTGCGACAAAAGTGGCATGCAGTGTGACTTCTGCAAAATGCTTTACTCGGTCACTCAGAAATTAAGAAAGGTGAGGGCAGCATTTATCTTCCAACACACCTGAACAGCCCTGAGCAACCTGCTCAGAGCACGGTCAGGTACAGCAGGTTGCTCAGGGCTGTGTCCAGTCTTCAATACCTCCACAGATGGACACTCCACTGCCTCTGGGGGCAACCTGTGCCACTTTTTTACTGATCGTCTATTAAGATAGTCTTAATAGACGATCAGTAAAAAATAGATGATCTCTATTAATAGTCTCTATTAAGAGCTTTCTAATATGTCCACACAATTTCCTTAATTTCTGTCTATGTCCATTGCTGCTTGTCCTGTCACTGGGCACCTCCAAGCAGAACCTGGCTCTGTCTTCCCATCAGGTACTCGTACCCATGGATAAGACATCCTGACCCTTCTCTTCTCCAGCATTTCTGCTGGCTCTTTCCCAGCACTCAAAACCAGTACACCAACAGGGAGGAGACAAAGTCAGTGCCTTAAACTAGGTGGGCTCTGAATCGCAGGCCTTTTTTTACAAAAATAGTTCTGATAAGATGTTGGCCAGGTGATATAAATGCGTTTCTAAATGGGATTACACTCTGCTTGAAGACAAAAAAAAACAAACAAAACAACTCGCCTATAAGCTACAAATATATACATGAACTACGTAGTTCGTATTTATATGTATATATCAACTCTGAATGCACACTTACTGCATCTACAACCGATCGCTGCCTGTGGTCTGTAAAACCCAAGGGGAGGAGCGGGTAAGCAGGGAGCAGCAGGAGACAGGCAGCAGACCCAGCGTACCTGCGAAATACCTCCCGGCGGGATCCACCTTCCCGTCGTTGAATCGGTTGTTTGGTTTATCCTTGTCCACGTGCGCGATGGTGGTTACCTGCTGCTCCTTCCAGTTCAAAGCAGCGAACCTGGTGCCCAGGGTGACGACATAACCCCCCGATTTCCGAAGAGCCACGGAGCTCACAGGAGCATCTAGAAACAGGGTGCGATGGACGAGAGGCATGTGCTATGAAGACATTTCTTTCCTGCCCAGCTGCCGCTCACTTTAGACACGCAAGCAGCACACTCTGGACCACAGGCATGGGAAACAACCTACGAGCTGCACTGCGACAGGTCACGATGCCGTGCAGCTCAGACATGCCTCTAGCAGCCCCAAAAGCACACTGAGGAGTGGCAGAGCTTTCCAAGGGTTAAAGCAAAGCAGAAAATTAGGAAACGCTCCACGGTTAGTTTACACTGTTATGCAGTAAAACCTCAATTGCAGGTTATTATAAAGGAATTAGTTTAAAAAAAAAAAAAGAGAGAAATGTGAGTGAAGATAGTATTTCGGCCGCAATCAGGTATAACGTAAGGAATAACAACTTTAAATAGAGCAATAAAATCTGGGGTAGTGTTTACCAGATGAGATTTAGGAACGTGCACGGGGCTGATCACCAACATTTTAATTAAAAAATAAATAGATAAGTAACATTTTTCGTATTTATAGCTACACAGAGGTACAATTAGGCAACAGCTTTACTGAGTGTGAGGAAAACCTGGAATGGTGGGACGCTGACAGGCGAGGACCGGGGGTTTTTAGGAGCTGCCCTGAGGCAGCGCCTTACCCAGGGGCACGGCCTGCAGCTGCCCGCTGCCGGGGCTCCAGCGGCAGGCCCGCCGGCCCGGGATGTCGACGCAGAGCAGGGCGCCCTCCTTCTCGTCCCACACCGGCGACTCGCCGATGCCGAAGCCGCTGCTCACCACGCACTCCACCCTGACGGACGACATGCCTGCGGGGCGGCACGACACGGCACGACATGGCACGACATGACACAAAGAAATAGAAGCCCCGGACCCGCGCCCCCCCCCCCCCCCCCCGCCCCATTCACCGAGCCCTCCCCGGCCGCTCCTCCTCCCACCCACCGCGGGTCGTTAGAAATATAATAATAAAAAAATAAAGTAAATAAATAAATAAATAAATAAATAAATAAATGAACTGAAGCGCCCGCCGCGGCCCTACCTGCTGCCAGCAGGGCGCCCGCCGGCCCCGGCCGCCGCTTTTATGGGGCGGGAGGCGGGGGCTGGGGCCCGGGGCCCTCCCCGCGGCCCCACACCGGGCCCTGAGGCTGCCCCCGGCCCCATGGGGGCTGTGGGATGGCGGCCAGGGCTCCGTGGCCCTGGGGAGCCTGTGGGTGTTGCGCTAGGGTGCCCGGCTGTGCTAGTGCCAGCACCCCGTGACATGGTGGATCACCTTGGGGCTTGGGTCCAGTCGCCCCCGGGGGGATCCATGATGTAAAAGTGGCTTCTCAGCTCCTCACAGACCCTACTTTTCCTGCTGTTGAAGCACCCCTAATGGGTTACCTCTGTCCGTGCAACAGGCACTCACCCCTTGGATTTCAGTCGTCTCCTTTTCCTTTTGGGAAGCTGACGGGCGGCACAACCTCACCACCACGCCGTGTTTCATGCAGGCTTCCCTCAGAGTAACACCGACACACTGCCTATCAGCGTGTTGTCATCGTGCCTAAGCACTTTGGCTTTTTATTTTACGGGCTTGCGTAGCATTACTGCAGCCCATGCTAAGCCTCAGTTTTTCTGTCCCCGCTGTGGTGTCACGTAACGCACCGCGGGGTTTCAGCCCAGACCTGAGGCAAGCGCGTTAGCACTGCCTGCCCACACAGAAAGCACCCGTCCAGAACGTCCTGCAGCAGCTGGTGGGCTTTTGGTTGTTTGTATACAATTTACAAGGAAAAAAAGAGATTTTTTTAAATGAATAAACAGAATTAATCAATAATTTGTATGTACAGTGAAATGCATTGCCACTTTTTAAAAAGCTCGGCCACGTTGGCTGCTCTCCTGCTGTCCTCGCATGCCACGAGGCCATTTGGGATGCGCAGGGCTCACGCAACATCTTCCTGACATCACCGGCGAGAGATGCTCACACCCGCAACCCACCCGGCGGGGCTCTGCTCCGTGCTGACTTCGGCATTTGCCAGCATGGTTTGGAGGCATCAAAACAAGCTGTGTGTTGGCACCCGCCTTGGGAGAAAATTAACAGCTCCTACGAGCTCCAGGTTACAACACAAACTCTCTCTCTGCCGAAGTGACAAGGATTTTTGAACTTAGGTCTCTGGTTACACGGCACGGTACCCCTCTTTTGCCTGTGCTGTAATAGGTAACCTGGCTTGCTGGAAGGTAAAAGGGGGAGGAATTCACGGGTTCCTTCATTGATGAATGCCTTCTGAGTCCTTCTGGCAGCACAGGTTTACCAGGGGAAGGAAGAGGGCAGGGAAGGTGGCTGCCGAAGGCTTCCCAGCCGGCAGCTGCTCCCTGCCCTGTCACAACCACCACATTTACCACACGGCGAGCGATAAGGAGCCCACGGCTTCCGTGCGGCCTCCCAAGGGGAGAGCTGGTGGCTCAGCGGGCCCACCTTTTATCCATGTGGCAGGGCTCTTTGCATACTTATTCCTCCAGTTTTACAGGAAGCAGGGGAAGGGGAACCATGGGGCTCACAGACCCCCTCCCGTGCATTTGTATTATCACAGCCACTAATAGCCTGAGGAATAGATCTGTGACATGAGAGGTTCTGCTGCCCAAAGCCGCATGTAATCCTGCCCTGCTGTGACATCCACAAAGGTAACCACAGCGTGCACGGGGAATTTGCCTCTACAGGGTAACACCACAGCCTGGGAAAACAAACAACAACAACAAAAAAAGCAAGCAAGAAGTAGAAATTTAAGATCAGTCACTATGAACTGTTGGCTGAAAAGCGAAAGCTAGTGCTGTGACATGCTTGTTTTCAGCCAGGTATAGTTCTTGGAAGAAACTCGTGTCTGGATCAAGGTTTTATTTGTTGGTAAGCAGCAGGTAGGTCCGAGAGTGATCAGACTGCTGAGAGGTCACAAGCATTTACTGGTCTGGGTGGCCACAATCACATCCTTAAATGCTCGTAGGGTTTGCAAAGCAGGTAAATGCTTTGGCAAACATTCAAGCTTCTCCTTAGGAGAAGAGCTGTTAACAGCAGACTTGTCCACTGATGAATTTATCTATGTCTAACACAGACTGCTAGCATACTGTTAGGGAAGTAAATGCAGAATGGATTCTGAGTCTTAAACAGAGAATCTTTTCTAAAAAGGACTGCACCAAGTTACCATGAAGTAATATAAGCACATTTAGCCTTAAAAGTCCAGTTTCTCTCTCAGATCTGGCAAAGGTGCCCTTTAGTTATCAAAATGCATTATGCAGGCTTCTTTGAGGAGCATTTTGTGTATGCTGGACGCAGTCTCTTGACAAATCACCTCACACCAGATATGCGGTGCTATAACCAGATGTTAAGTGGCCCTTCCCACTACAGTTTCTCAAACATCCCTCACACCATCACAAGGGTCCCTCCAGCTCCTGTATCACTCCAGCACCTGCCTGTGCTAGCTCCTGCCATCCATATCCATCTGACAAAGCCCGAGTGTCCAGCCATGCCCTTCCAGGCCCCTGCTCCTCGCAGTGGGAAAGAGGGTGCTTCAGAAAGGGCAAGCCTTCTGCGGTGGAGCCTGGCCAAGAGATGTTGCGTTAATGCCTTACTTCCCTGCTCTTTGTACCCCATGTGACCCGCATTTGCATTTTGCTTGCCTCAGGAAAAAAAAAAAAAAAAAAGAAAAAAAAAAAAAGGAGCATTGCTATGTTCTGTGGCAGCTGCAAGAGGACAGGCACAATGGAGGCTGTGCGAGGGAGCCAAGACTGGAGGGAGAGGCCGCAGCTTTCATTCAGGGACCTCCGCTGACAACAGTGCCCTCAGTGTTTGCAGCTTTCAGGCACACAAGCCCCTCTTCAGGCCCAGGTCAGAAGCAAACCTCAAATTAACTGCAGGTTTAGGACAACTGCTCCAAGCTTAACTCAGGGCGTTCAGTCAGAGCCGAGAGAAGTCTGGTTGCTGTGTTAGCCTCCACATCACCTGGCGTGCCCGGCTTTTGGCTTTTTCCTCCTTAAGCCAGGGGAGACTGCTGGGGCCCGGGAGGGTAAGGCGATGCCCAGACACCTTTTTAGAGGAGATAACAGAACAAAGGCTGAGGAATCAGGTCTGGAGGAGGGGAGCCACCTGTCTGGCTCCCTCCAAGCAGATGCAAAGGAGGCCTAGCATACCAGTGCTGCTGGAGCAGCACCACCCCCAGATAAGGGAGGCGAAACCTCAGAGGAATGCCACCAGACACAGCCCTTTCAGCTGCCAGGGGGTGTTTTTAAGAACAGGCTCATTTACTGATCCCCCCCCCCCAGCTATCCCATCCCCTCTCAAGGACCTGCATTTCTAAAGGAAGAGCCAAAACAGGCGAAACTTTGCCCAAAGGGCACCCAACACCCGCTCTTTTTGCAGGTGCCACCCCCAGCGGGCTTCTGGTGGCTGCTGGGACCACAGAAGAGGAGCGGCCTCTCTTGGTGTCCGTCACAGGCTTCTGGCTGACCAGGTTTCCTGAAGATGTCTTCTGACAGAAACTGGTAAAAATGTCTTGAGGATGGCTGGGTGAAAAGAAACCGTGAGGGTGTCATCAGCGAGCCCAGATCTCAAGCAACGCCTCAGATGGGGCAGATGGGGAAAAACAAGGGCCCAGCCCAGAGCAGAACAAAAGGCAGAGCGGGCAGGGCGAGGTGGCTCCAGGACAGGGCCCCAGCCACCAGAAGCCCGCCGGAGAAAAAGGGATTAGCTGGAAGCTTTACTCAGCAGACAGGGAAACTGATGGGCGAGTATCTGGGGCCGCTTCTCCTCACACAGCCGGGCGGGCTTAGCGGGGCTCTGTGCCGAGGGATTAACAAAGATGCACCACACGCAGCTGCTGCTTTAGGACAGCTCCCCGGCTGCTAGGAAAGTTTTGGAGGAAAAAAAGCAACCAAAGGTTCGGTTTCACAAAGCTGTGCTTGCTGTCGGGGCAATCCACCACAGACGAGTCCAGAGGCTGAGACGTGCTGGCCTGGCAGGGAGCAGAGCCCAGGGCATTTATCTCAGGATGGTCCTGACAAGCAGTAACACTGCAAAACTGTACCCCTGTGGGGGAAAATGTCTGTTCAGCCATGCTGCTGGCACAAAGGAGGACTTGGGAACAGCAGCACAGCACCTCGTGGAAGCAGAGCCCCATGTCTTTGCTCACCCTACTGCAGCAGCACCCAGGCACTCCATTGTTTTCCACCTCTGCCCATCCCTGCAATCCTTCCCTGGCACACCAAGCTCCCAGGTTGTGCAAGCAGCTTCCATTTGCTCATTAGTTCACATCAAAAGCATGTTTTCTCAATAGACGTGTCAATTCCCAGCAGTGGCAAACCATAACAAGCTCAGGGATCAGCCAGGCTCACACTGATCGCGATGACTGGTTTGTCACGTTCCCTGCAGCTCGCGGAGGCAGGCTTTGAACGCTCGGTGTTGAAGGCTACAGATACCACACGCCTAGCCCAGGTATCGCCCGTGGTATCAGTGAGGTATCGCATCAAGTGTGAACATCTGAGGCTGCTTTTTCATAGCCAAACATTTGGCATTTCTGCCCCTATGGTTTGGGACTCACGGTGCAAACGGTGCATACAGTGGCAGAGCCAGAGCACAAGTTGCAACCTAGAAGCATTTCTTTTTGGACAGACTCAAACTCATAGTGCTGGGAATCACCATACAGACCCTATGAACTTGTAAGAATTTGGCCTGAGTTACCACCAAGTAACCAGACTAACGTGGCTGTCTGCAACTTATTTGTAAAGATGCCGCAAACCAGCAGCAGCTGTTTGCAAGGGAAACAAGCAGGGGTACAGACTGACTTCCTCGGCTCCTTTTCCCACATCCCAGACACAAGCAGACTGCTCTCAAAGGAGATGGGAGGCCACCAGTCACAGTCACTGAAAATAATTTTAGGGAAGGAGAAATCCCGGTCCTGAAAGACAGCTGGCAATCCATCACTTACAGCTTCTTCCTCATGCTGTTTTTTTTCTCCCCTCTCTTCCATATGCTCCTTTTGTGCCCTTTCCCTCTGGTTTTCTTTCCAGCCGAGGACTTGCTGCCCTCTTTCACTCAGCCCCACGCGTGCATCACAACCCCCAGCCCTCCTGAGGGCAGGGAGGATGTTATCAGCAGGGTTGTGCAGCTCCACCTGCTCCTTGCTCTCCATCCATCACTTTTGCTGCCTTCTGTTCCTTCCTGCTCCCCGGCTGTAGGGCAGGCAGCAGCACCGGCCTGTGGGAGCAGGGGGAACTGCAGCAACAGGTCGTGCAGAAACACCACCAACCATCAGCCTGGGAATGCTGCTTGTCCTGAACCCTCCTTTCCAAGGCAATGTCAGTGTTGGCCGTGCACATGTTGGTGTGTGAGAAGCAGGATGAGGCGGAAGGCCAGGCTGCAGCTCCCCCTCACAGCTTGGTTTGTACAACCAGGGGCAGGCCGTGGTGCTACAACACAGGCAAATGTATCAGGAAGGGAGAGCAGCGCAGCAAATGGCCTGTTACATCTGCTGGGCTAGGCAGAAACAAAAGCCAGGCTGGGACTATTTGCTAAACGCAGCAAATCGGTGCTCACTGACTCTTTTTTCGGGGAGGCTGAAGGGGAAAGATTTCCCTTGACCTTTCGACTTCAAGTACTGCCAGCTCTGCAGAAATAACTCCCTCCCGACGGACACAGCACTGCCGTTAGACCCATTAGTGCCTCCCAGGCACGAGAGGGTGCAGCCCTGAAGAAATCACAACAAGTGGAAATACTGTTAGCAGTTTCATAATTTAATGAAAAAGTACTTGTAAAAAGGGGACATCTGAAAAAGACCGAGTCCATCTTGGAAAATTGAATATATATATATTTATATATATAAAACAAAATGCAAAAACACAAAAAAAAATTGACAAATAAGGTTAAGAGGTAATACTTCAAACAGTTAGCCACCGAACACACAATAAAAACTAGCAAATGCACTTTGGGGACAATACTTGAGAACTACGTAACCAAGGGCTCCTTCATATATCTATTAAAATCATGGAAAAATTAGCAAAACCATTGCCCAGGCGGGAAACAACTGAATTCATAACCCCAGAAGAGCAGAAATGCTGAGTTTTGCTGAAGCACCATTTTCCTCCCCTCCGCCGTACGCTTCTGGCCACAAAATGGCATGAAGGCGTCGCCAGCCTCCCACCTGAGTGTTCCCAACGCAAGCTTCATGAAATTTTGTGGCCAGCAAGAGGATTACTAATAAATATCGAAGGAAAACTAAGAGAGTCAGAACCGGAATACAAATGAAGAAACATTTGTTGACTTGTTCTGAACAACCCATGGCTTAGAACACAAAGCATTTCCCATCAAAATAAAATGTGTGGAAACCTAAAATGCTACTGCGTATTTACACCAAAAGAAATAATTTTGAAGATACAGCTCTAGAAAGACAAATTACACAAATATACATAAAATCAAGAAGTGGGGAGAAAAAAAAAAAAAAAAGAAACTGCATGAAGCAAATAGAGCAGGATTGCCAAGTATGCTGTTCCGTGGTTTTTTATTTCGTCGAAGTCCTCCAGCCCCTGACTTGCTAGTCCTATTGCAACGAGGGAGATTTCAAAGCTTAAACCAAACCTAAAAGCGTTGTCATTTCCCAAACTAAAAGCAGTAAATGAAGGTAATGGAGAAGAAACATGCTGGTTGGCGTCTGCATAGCCATCGCCACAGGTGAACCTTTCATTTGTAGAGAAAATGAGCCCCGATCCCAACAGAGGCACGCAGCGTGACGTGGGGACAGGGGATGCTGTGGGTTTATGAAACACACAGCGTTTCAAAGAACAGGGCTGCTACTTGCTTGATCACCACAACACAAGAAACTTGTCCGCATTCAAACAGAAATCCCAGACAAAATAAACAAGCCGAAAAGGGCTTCCCCTCCCTTCTGGCTTCCTTAACAGAGGTTGAGGTTTAAAAACACAAGTAAACGACTGATTTTAAAGCACGTTAAAAAAAAAAAAAAAAAGTTTTAGTTTGGGAAACAGCAACTGATCCAGAGGTTGAAAAGCAGCTTAACGTAACCATAAGTTTTCAGCAATAAAAAACATACTCCAGGTGATGACTGGCTAAAATTTCACAGGCCTAGGTGCCAGAAGTGGGGCTCCCAAGCCCACATTGAGGCAGCTAGGATTGAAAATTCGTGCCTAAATAAAAAGTTCAGGCAAAATTATTTCTAATTCATCTTCTTTTAAAAACACCAGGTACAAACACCTCCGGATGTGAAATTTCAGTTTGAGGAGGAACCTGGCATCACCGGTGATTGCCTACATTGAAGTGTCAAATAGCATTTTTCTTTGAAGTAGTACATCTACTCTTGTAAACACTATCCACAAAATTAGCCATCTGTACTTGTTAGCTGGGTAAAATATTTACAAGTGCATCCCACAACAAGCAGCTATGTACAGAGATTAAAAAAAAAAAAAAACAAGTACTAGAAGTTGTATATTTACAAAATAAGCAAATAATTGCGAGGAGAAACACGACCTTCAGCAAGAGCAGGGAGCGGGGGCACGTCTAGAGGTCAGTGAGTTTGGCAGCGGCTTCCACCCTCTGCAAGGAGCCCGCGACCACCACTGAGCCCCCCTGCAGACGGGGACGGCGCTCAGCAGCCGCTTTGGGCCTGATCCAGCAGAGCACCTGGGCAGGGGCCGGGCCACCCGAGGGAAAGCAGGAGGGTTTTTCCAGGCGCTCAGCTCTCCCGCAGGCCCCCAAGTGCCGTGCTGGATCAGCAGCAGGCGCTGCAAGGACGCAGTTTCAGCGTCTCCCCTGCAGCCCCTTGCAACGCAAGGACTCCTTCCTTCTCTACCTGCCCAGCACGGCTGGCACAGCGTGAGCACCCTGCCTTGCAGGTGAGCTGGCAAGGAGGAAGCAGTTTCCTGAGCTCACGCAAGGCCCAGCCGCCCCGTGCTTCCCCAGATGTTGACCTCTGAGACCAACCCCATCCGTTTCTCCACGACTCCGCCATAACTCGGGTAGCCTTGCGAAGGCTGCAAGCCGATTCACAGTTGAACAAAACGACTCCCATTTCTCTGCCCTCCCCCGTCCCCTCCTGCAGTTCTTCCCGTCGCAGGTCCTGTACTGGTTTCTGGAACCTGGTGATGCTGAGCTCTGCACTGGTACACCGGGATACACGAAGGCTGAGTTACCCCGTGGGGGCTTCTAATCACCTTTGTACCGAACCGTGAGAAATCATGTTCTTTTTGTTTCTATTGTGACAATCTCTTCCGAAGTCCTTGCTTGGGCTCTCTCTCTCCGAGCTACTCCGTCGTAACCTCACTTGCTCTTTATTTTCATCACTTTCCGCTTCAGAGTCACTCAGCTCCAGGTCGGGGCAGTACCCGTCGTTGTCCTGGTAGGGAGCACCTTCGAGCGCCTGCTTGCTCCACAAGCGGTCTTTCGCGGCGAGCCTTCTCGTCGGCTTCTCACAGCACCGCAGATCTTCCGTGGTCCTCACCAGGCTGTTGGTGGCCTCTTTGAAGGAGCGGCTAAAATGTTCCATGGTGGATTTCCTGAAGCCGCTCTGGCCGGCCAGGTGAGCCGCGAGCACGGAGTCCTGCTCGTAGGGCGTCTGGCTGGAGCTGTCCCTCTGGCTCACGTCACCGGCCCTGCCCAGCAGCAGCCCGTTGGACTTGGCCGCCAGCCGCGAGCCGTCCTGCTGCGCCCGCCCGTTCCCCATGGCTGCCTGCCCGTGTAGGGCCGCCTGCAGCGCAAGGGGCTTCCCGGATGGCTGGCCCCGGTGAAACTCCGGCACCTGCACGGGGCCCGAATCCTTCGCCTCGCCGCGGGGCTTGCCGATCCCCCCCGGGACAAGCAAGCCGTTGCTTCTGCCCTCGTGCTGATACCTGGGGTACGATTTCGCTTTGATTTCATAAGGTTCTTTCGGCGCCGGCACGCTCCTCTTGCCGTACGCAGTGCTGTTGTTGTCAGGAGACAGCGGCCTGTTGCCAGGCTTCAGGGAGTTGTTTTTGCAATCTCCTAGTGCTGATTTGGGCATTTTTAACTTCAGGGTGATCCTGGGAGGTGGGTAGAACAGCGTGTTCTCTAGTGCACTTGTCAGGGTATGGCCTGGATGAGAGAGAGACGAGGGGGCAGAAGAAAAGAAGACTTAAAAAGAGGGTAACCATACTGTTACCTGTAGAGTTTTACAGTGCATTAAAAAGTTATTCAGCAATAAGAAGCATCTGCAAACAACTGGTGTGAAATTATTTCAGGACATTACAGACAAGGCAGAATAACAAAAACTGCCCCAAATTGTCTACTATTTCAAACGTTTAGGTAAGCATCTTCGCATTTCCATTAAAAAACAACAGCGTGCCCTTTCACAGGGCTTCAAGCCAGAGAACTGAACCAGCTTTGAGACATGACAGAAGTAGTTCCAGCAAAGCTATAAAAAAGGTTCACATTCAGCTTTGGATAGAGAAGAAACAATGCTTCAAACTGAGCTGCAATTTGGACTTGGTTCAGCTCTGCTTCGTATTTTAAAATTCTCTATGCTTTAAAAGTCTTTTCACTCTGATGTACGAGTCTTTATTATATTGTGCACACACATTGCCATTGCAAAATCTCTCTCAAAATATTTTAGTAAGTTTTTAAAAAAAAGCACTTGGTTTTGTAAAGACATAAATTTGGTACACATTTCTAATAAAGTTTATTTACACAAAATCCAAGTGCTTTAGAGTACTGCTGCTTCCGCAATGAGCTAGGCTGATCTAAACCAGCTGAAAAACAACAAACAAACAGAAAAAAACCACCACCTTGTCAGTACCAATGAAACTTATCCATGTTTCAGGGGTAGACAAAAAGCCACAAAGGCTTCACTTTAAATTGGTTACGAGAAACGCAACGTGTATCTTGAACGAACATCAAGATCATCATTTCACAACTGCAGAAATAGTTGACGTCTCAATTAAGGAAAAAAAAGCAACTGCACTGCAATATATACTATTCCTCTTTTCAAATGTTGTGTTCCTCATTTCAGGGCACATTTTTAGTGAAAATCAAGGGCAGGGTTGGTTTCGGTACATCAACTTTCCAAAGCAGTCACTGCTCGCTGTTAAAAAACAGAGTGCTTAGGCTCTTTCTGAAGGAAGGGACAGTAACTGAGATGACAAGCTAAGAAATGCCTCTTCATGTTGCTCATCAAGTATTCAAGGCAACACGAGAAGAGCCATTCCTATCAGTCACTTTTCTCTTTTGCCTGAAGAAATTAACTACAGCAAGCAAAAGAACTTCTCAGTGGGAGAGCAGAGCTTGCTGTGGGGAAACGGCACCATAAAACAGCAGCCCAAGGAAGCAAAAACCTCGAGATCACCACCAGCTCGTTTCTGCTACGTGGGTAACAGAGCAAGTGATAACTTACAGGCATATGCCCAAGAGTGAAAGATCCAAGTTAAGGTGTTAAAACATTGAAGTATTTTGTGTATGTTGGTAGTTCCATTGACTGAATATTTGAAGACAATTTTTAAGGCAGCTCTCAAACGTTAAAACACTAAGCCAGAACATAATGAGAACACACAACTTCCTAGTTTATACACAGTTATGATTTGTAAATATTTTACACTTTGTGATTACCTGCAGCAATTTCCTGATTAATGAGCTGGACTTGCAAATTGAAGACCTGCTCGTGTACTTTACTGTGCGACAACTTCAGTTTCTCTCTCCTGCTTACCATGTAGCAGAGATTTCTTACCTACAGAGAAATAACACGAGACTTAGTATCAAATTAAAAAAAATAAAAATAACAATCTGGACAGAAAAAAATGTATCCACAACAGAATTATACAAATTTGATGAGCAATATCCCTTGGCAAATATCTCATGACTGATACTAAACATATGTAACCACGAATTTAAAAACAAATCCCGAGTATTTTTAATTACCAGTTTAATGAGTGTCTTGAATACATTCTGCAAGGCAGCAGAATGTGTTTTCACCTACAAGCACAGTAAGCAAACAAAATTCTAGTCAAAAACACGTAGTTTCTAAGACTTGCTTGTCTGTAAGCCTACTTCAACCACACGCTGTGCTGGGGATGTTACTGCAGTCAACACTCCAGTCTCCTGGAATTTCCTCGTGAAATGCTTTGCAGAATGATTTTCAAGAGCTAAACTAAGTTTGTTCCTCCTAGAATTATTGCAACATTTGAGAGTATATCTTTTTACAAAGCTACCCAATAGATTCTGGCCGATTCTGGCCAGTTTAGACCAGAATTAACATGTAGATCCCCCCTAAAAGAACACTGCAGCTTTTCGTGCCTTTCACACATTTGGCTGATGCATTTAGCAGCTTATTTTCAGGCTGCATGGCAGTTTCACACAGTTCTACTTTCACTACTTGTTTGAATTAGTAGCAGTACGTCCACCTCCTGTAAGGAAAACAGGAAGAGGCACTGCAAGTTTGTTAACACTGACCTGAAAGAGCAGGCACAACACAGAAAAAGCATAGGGGCTGGCTGAACAATATTTGCCAGGTATACCTCCCCAAACACCTAACTAGCTGTTCAGAAACTGGAACCTCTCTCCCCAGAAAGGAGATTCACAAATTTATTTTCATACCAAGACGTAACTGAACAGAAATTCTTGCGGCACGAGAGGTTCAGAAACTTTGAGAGCCATCTCAAACTACAAAGCGCTTCCACTCAATGTAAGTGCATCAATTTCAACACAGTTAGATGCAAACCAACCACTGCTAAAAAGACCATTTCCTTTTCATCCTGCTCAGCAAAGCCACGAGCAGTGCTAGACCCGGTGGGCTGTTTTCCAGCAGCTAACCATGAGCAGCACCTCGCCCAGCTCAGGAGCGTGAGCAGTGATTCAGCCCACCCGCTACCTAGGGCCAGCCAGCAGCAGCACGCTGCCCAAGAGGAGAGGTGAGTAAGGGATCTGAATCAGAAGTCACAGGAAGCTGCCTGAGCACGGGCCAGCAGCCTTTTTCTTCGTCCGTGAAGCCAAGAAGGCTCTGTGGTAGTTAACCACCCAGAACTTCACCCGCTCGCCCTCAAACCATGATGATGTTTTAATGTACTTCTAGAATTCCCCAAAAGCTTCAGGCGCACTCACCAAAGAATACCTGCTGCTTTGCCTACACATGTTGGTTTTCAATGCAGAGAATTCTGCATTGTGTGCTTCACAAGAATGGAGCTGAAGGCCTTACCTCTTATTTTCTAAATCGTCTCCCTGTGCTCCTCCCATTCCCACTTCTGTCCAAAGACAAAGCTGCTGCTCACCTGCACACAGTTTTTCAAAACTTTACCAGTTAAACTCTTACCCTCTCTAGGTCCTGCCTCAAATGCATGAACATCCTCATGCGAGTATGAATGCTATCTTCTTTTGGCTGCACTAAGCCATTTTCTTCATCCTCCTTGGGAGGAAACAATGGTTTGTTAAAGTTACTTTTTCGCTTTAATTTCCAGTAATTGTAGATGAAGTCTACAGCAAGTTTAGGAAGACCCAGTTCTGCTGCAACGTCCTCCACTTTAACGAGTGAGTAAAACTCTTCTTCCAGCTCTCGGAGCTTCTGGGCTCGTAAACTGGTTTTCTCGCTCTCCGTTTGCTTCTGGTCCGACATACTTTTGGGATGCTCATCAACATCAGGCAGCGAGTTCTGTTTGTTCTTGCTGTGCTTCAGACAATACGACTTGAACTTGACCTCATCCCCGTCATCCAGGATAGTCTTCATCTCTAAGCTATGCTCGAAGGCACAGGTGACATGAAAGGCAGTGATGCAGCTTTTCACGGAGCACTACAGATGGAAGAAAAGGGAAAAAACACTCAGTCACTAAGAGTAGAAACAAACCAGAAAAAAAATATATATCTTCATTACATTAAAGTTTATTCCTACCAAATCATCTCTTAAGCACTCTTAGAAATACCTGTTGATCTCTTCGAAGTTGGTATCATGTTAGTATCATGTGATCTGGTATTTTCTTGTTTTTGAACAGCGTTCAGTGGAAGGATCCACCTCTGTTCCACATACTACCAGTACTTACACTTCTCAGCCTTACTCAAAAGAAGGCAACTGAGACCAGCTCCTAACTCTCTACACTGAAGCACTTAGGGAACTAATTTGTTAGCAAACAGCTATGACAAAGTAGGCAGCTATCCTACGATTGTCTTCATCATAACATCTCCAAATACAGGAAAAATAAAATAAAATAAAAAAATCCCCATCTCACAGACTGAAGAGTCAGAGGAAAACAAGAACATACCTGAATGCAAGCACCAGTTTTCAGTTTGCATAAACTACACACTAAAGCCCATCGACTTGGTGGAATGTGAGACACCTTTGTGATCGGCTCCATCCTTTCTGGGCAAGCAATACTGACCTGAAAACAAAAAGCAGCATGGAAACAGTTAGCAAGGCAATAAAAACAAGCTCTCCACTAATATTAGAACAAGAAGTATGACCACACATTTATCTCGTTCAGAGATATCTACGTGCTCATGCTTCTCAGCAAGTGACCCCAGAAGATCCTGCACGTGGAAAACCATGCTGAGGAATACAATTAGTTCAACCTGGTGGCTACAGTAAATGATGGCTAAGTTTATTCCCTTTCGATTCTTTATTTTTTTTTCCTGTGCTGCTTAAGCAGATCTAACTTCAAAAGTACCAAAAAGCGAGCTACTCAGAACAAAACAGGAACACTTAGTCACTTACCTGAGAAGTTCCTTCTTTAAGATCCACAGATCCGCTACAGGAGCTACCTCTGCCAGCTCAGAGTTTGGGGCAGAACAGATCTAGCAGTCAGCAGCCAGGGAAAGCCTTGCTTTTTGCCTTCACTTCCACTGAGCACTCCCAGTGTAAAAGGTGACTCTAAAACACTTTCCTAACTACAGATTGCATGAAGTATAATTTGAGAAAGAATGCAACAAACTCCTCTTTCTGCAAAGCACAGTATATTATCTTATGCCAGTTTTCACATATTTAGTCTGGATGATCTATTTGTCTCTGGTGGACCAGATTATGGATATTAATACTATAAGAAAGAAGAAGTTTCAGATAAGCACAGGTACCTTTTGCTATTGTTTGCTGTACTAAGGTTCACATATCCATTGTCATAGAGATTTCTCAGCTGTCTGTTGTCCATACTGGGAAACCAGGACTGTTCTCCATAATTTGGACATCCAAACAGAGATGAATTATCTCCTCACTCACCCCTGAGCCATTCCAGACCACCAGGATTTATCCAAGGGCAGAAACAAAACTGGCCAGCTACGAATGATCAACATGCAGAACTGAGCATATCAAAATGGCACAAGGCAGAAAATTGCAGAGATAACTGCTCTGTCCCAAGGCTGGCAGTCTCCAAAAGCTTGGATTTTGATGCTTACACAACAAAAAAACACTTTGAACTTAGCAGCTGTGTGCTATGGGGGGCTACCTGCCTGAAACAGAAATGCAGTGCTAATTCTAGCTAGACAGATCTCCCTGCTTCATACAATGATTGGCCTGAGCAGAGCAGACCAGTGGTGGGATCGGGGCCTCTAAGCAAAGGGGTCAAAACAAAGAATTCAAAGAAAGGAGGTTTCTAGGCCATGTTCTGTGGCACTGTGATGTCAGAATAAAGCCTATAACCTAAGGAAGTAGTCAAGACTAAGATAGGATTTTTTTTTTTTTTTAAGAGAAGCTTAAGAGCATTACATTACAGTAATTTTCATAGATTATTCTTCCAACCTCCATAATAAGACTCTTCTAGGGAAATCCATGTTAGACAATTAGTTCAAGATGTGATAATTAAACTGTTGCCTTTACAAGGACCAACAAACTAAGGTGAGTATGCTAGCTTCCCTTTTGGGGTATTTCAGCAATCACCCGATGCACATACTCGCTTTAAAACCTGCCTAAGCCCTGAGGAAGCACAGCAGACATTCTCTGTGAGCTAGACTTGTCCAATACAGCAGTGCCATGCTGATTAGGCCTCAGAGTCAGAGCTGCTATGCTCAAACTGAACGTTTTTGTTACTCTTTCCTATCTTTTGCATTGTTTTGAGCATCCATCAAGTAGGTGGGAAAGACAGCTTTGCAAGAGATGACTTGATTCATCATTCTCACATTTTAAAGGCTGGTCAACAGTTCATAAAGTAATGACAAAAGCAGACTCAAGCATGATTTGTGTTTGTTATAGTATTCAATCTCTGATCCCCCAGTTGCAAGCCCGATCTTCTGGAATATGCTGAGGCCAGCCAGTGCTGCGTGGTATTTCCATTCAGCCCAGTGACAGGCACAAGTGTATGTCACTGAACTCCAGAAGCCACGAGTCCCATCAGTGGGCATGCTTCAGCCTTCTCGTGGGCCAAAACCAGAGTCAGAAAGATCTGTGCGGAAAACCAACAGGACTTTGCACCTGGAAACCAGCAGTACCAGTTACTGTCAGTTCAAATTATCAAAAAAAAAAAAAAAAAAAAGACAAGATGAGGAAAAGAAGCAAGCTGCGACCCATGTAACAAAACTAAAACCTAATTCTGAGAAGTCTTTGTTAGAAAAGTAGCGGGATGCTCCATAGAGGTCCCAGAGAGGATTAGGAGAATGGGGAGGCAGCACGTGATGCATTCATCAGGTAGAGATGAGGAGCAGCTTCATCTTTTGTGGACTTCCTATGTGTCAGCAGGTCAGCAGGAAAGGGACAAAACTGTCCTTGAAACTCTTGAATTGTTCCACAAAATCATGTTCACCACTCTTAAATGTCAAAAGGCAGCTTTTTTGTTTCCATAATGAGACCCTTTATCAACCTACCTCAATGCTGCTCAAAACAGAGCTGGTTACAAGTCACCCAGGTGTTTCTGAGACAATATTGTAAAGATTGACTGCGTTTCTTGCCCCAGTTACCAGAATCAACAGGCAAGACTTCCTGTGGGAATTAAGGGGTTGCATCAACTTGCCACGCTGTCTTTATTCCTTTCAGAAAGGAACCTTCAGTGATTTTCTCCTGGAGACTGGGTGGCACCACCCTTCCTCCGTGCGTCCCAGCAGAAGCTGGGAACTGACACACATCTTTTTGCTCTCTGCCCCCTTCAGTGCTCTCCCTGCTGCTTCCCCAGAGGGGACTCTGGAAGGCAGGAAATATTTGTGTTAGAAATCCTGTCCCTTGGGCTTGCAGTGCTGCCTGTTTACATTACCCTGCTTTGTCAAAACACCACGAGGCGCTTTGAGTCAGGTGCAGTTTATTTACACTGGCCTCGTGCCGCCTGCGTGCTCCTAACACTCCCAGAGAGGAGTCAAGGCAAAGTTTGTTTGAACTCAGCTGTTCACGAGGGATCCTGAGAGCTGAGAGGCCAACCTTTCCATTTCCCAAAGCCTCCCTAACCAAGGCAGAACCGACAATCTGCCTTAACACGTAGCCTCTCTGTTCCTCCTTCATGTTGTGCCGGGTTCCTTTTTGACTGCTGTACTCTGAAGAAGTTGTAAAAGTGGGAGAGAGAGAACGGTGGGGCTGTTGAAGCCTCTTCTCTGTGACTTCCACGGTGAGCTGACATCTCTGCCACCACCCTGCTCTCCACCGGTAGCCTGCCCCCAGCAGCAGCTAAGGAAAAATGGCTTTGTGCTTCAGCTGACAGCACACTGACTGAGGGAAGATGTGTCTGCAGTGGGGCCTCTAAGGCAGAGAAATCTTGAAATTCAAAGCAGAGCAAGTTTTCTCATCTCAAAGTCTTTCCTTTTTTTCAAAGAAGGTCTTTAAAGAAAGCATAGAAGAGCCATTTACACTAAAAGACAATAATGGCAGAAGAATAAAAGGATATAAACCAACGATGAGGGCACTTCATGAAATAAAAACCTTCAAGTGTCTCAATCAGCCAAGTGAAGGTCAACAAAGCCTTTTGACACCATCAGCTTACCAGGGGAGGGAGGAAAGAAACCCCACCCACATTTCAAGAGAGTGCTGAATGAATGAATGAAGGACAACAAATCCCCACTGCAACCGCATGCAACGTTGCTAGCCTACACTTGGTGACTCATCAAGCCCCTCTTTGAAGGTTTTACCACAAACATGGTTCTGACTCACTTTTCTCTGCCTTCTGCCTTGTTCTGTCTCGTTGGGGGCACAGCGGGGAAGCAGCAGAGATTTTATCATGTTTGTTTCTTCTGGGGCAGTTCCAAGGGAATATGCACCGTGCCATAAAGTATCTCTGGGTCTTCAAACTCTGGGTGTTTCCAGTCCAGTGATCACATTATGCTACAGTGATTCTCCAGAAAGGAACCCAACATTTTAACAGAGATTCCCAAAGCTTTCTTTGGCTTCCTTGGTGACTGATTTTTATTTTTTCTTCCTCCTACAAACAGCAATGCAGGGGACAGAGAGGATGAACGGATCCGAGAGGCGTTTCCCACCTCTCCTGGCAGGTGCCACCTCCTTGCTATGCCTGACACACTCGGCTTTGCTGCAGAGGGGAGGAGGTGCCCGAGGCCTGGAGCCGCCGATGGCTGCAGGAGCAGCTGGGTTTGAGCTCTCCCACCTGGGCACTCCCTGGGCTTCTCTCCCTCAGCCGGAGGGAGGTGTGCAGGCAAGAAGGCAGCACTGGCTCCCCGTCTTGTGCTCAGCTGCTTTCCAAACCTGCCTGCTCCTCTTCTGTTGAGGAGGACATCAAGGCAACCGCACACGGAAAGGACCGCTGAGGAAAACCTGTCTGCTCACAGAAATGCACTTCAGAAGTACAGAAGTCAGGAGATTTTTATTTATTTTAATCTTTTGTGTTTTCTCCCCCCTCTACTCCTTTCTTCCTAAAGGTGGATGAGACACCAGGAAGTACACGCTGGCCTGAAGGGAAAGCAGAACTGCAAAGATAACCTCCCTGCAAAGCAGACGTATGCCTGTGACAGAGCTAGGAAATACACACGGCACCGTGCTACCACGTTAAAAAAAATAATCCAGAATCTTAACATCCTCCTTGTGAAGTTTTGCAAAGGCAAGGCCTGGCTGCTTCGGAACAGAAGGCTTGAGAAATAAGGCAGCCCCTTGGCATCACAGTGCCAACAGCTGTGGCTACAGCTTCGTGCTAAACCATCCACTGTAATGGATCTGTGGATCTTAACAGAAAGAAAACAAATACAGATCTGAGCACAAAATTAAACAAACAGCCCATCTATACAGGAGTGAATATTCCAATTTACACAATTATATTGTGATGCTAACCTTGATTCTAAATAGAGCAAGTGTAAAGCTTCGTTATTAAACTTCACATATGTGCATGCAACTAAAGCCTTTTCTTACAAAATATAATGTAGAAGATTTTTCTTCTCCCTACCATTCAGAAAAAAATCATTCTAAAATACCTTAACTACAAACATCTGCCGATCTCAGAGTCCATCCAATACAAATCATGTAGTATGTTTGTGTTTTGTTTTGTTTGTTTGTTTTTAAAAAAAGTGAATGTATTCAGGCAAATTATACACCTAACTAAGAGCGCACACATTTATCAGGAGCTAAGAGAGGTAACGAAGCTGCAGTCACGCAGCGAACGCTATCTTACATCAGTAAGCCCTTCCAGCAGGTCACTCGGGTACCGCAACGACACCAAGGAGTGCTTGCTCAGTGTGTCGGCGGGGGAAACGGCCAACAAAGGGATTAATCTCTCTCTCCCAGCCTTTGCAGGTTCTGCAGACTCAGAATAAAGCCCAGGACTAAGCCATATAGATATATTAAAATCATGAAAATGTGAAAAAGCAAAGGAGGGAACAAGGAGGAGGAAGAAGAGAAGAAAGAGGATAGTAGGGACCATGATACAGAAGGATGAGTTGGAAATTCGGCTTTACCTCTGGAATCCAGAGGGCACAGCTCACGTGCGCCCACTTGGTCCCTGTCCTGGTGGCTTTCATGGCACCTCCTCGTTTGGGACACAGGAGGCACTGGGGGTGTATCCCCAGCACGCAGGTGCGGCACAGCCAGCTCCCTTCAGGGACTTTTAGGATTCCGTAGCACGCCTTGGGAGAAAACAGGGATCGAGATCATTGCACTAATAGGATTTCACATCCAAACATTGATTTTCATACAGCACAAAGCTTTCAGATCCTAAAGGCACAGTTTGGCCTTTGCTTAATCCTTCTCCAATTTCGTTACCTTAAAAGGAGTCAGGTGATCAAAGAGATTTACAGCCTATAAAACAAATGCTTTCTACGCCTGCTTCTTTTTAAAGTATGTGTCTTGGTATTGTTTGTTCACAGCACAGAACAGCCATTGTGACTGAACAAACACTGCCATTAAGAACCTTCATCTTTGCATTTAGCAATTAACTATTTTTTTTTAATAAACTTTTTAAGTTTCTGAAGAAAAAAAGGAGACATCTCTTTAAATTAGCTTCAGCATTTATGTAGACCTTCCTAAAAATCACCATTTCCTATCGCTAACAACTTTACAGTAACATAAATATGTTTAGATGTGAAGCAGTGAGCTGGTTTTTGAAGATTTTTCTGAAGATTTTTGCATACAGTATTAAATTATCTTTGTGGTTACAGTTCTGACATTCTATCATTTGACTTTATATATATACATTCAAACTAGAGTTACAGTACATACTGAAATGATGAGATGCTCTTTTTTAGGCCTATTTCCCTGAATATTGCGTTTGACCCCTTGAAAATTGAGGGATTTCTTACCTTTTCCTAAATTTGAGGATTAAAAAGAAATAAGAAATGCACTTTGCTTTCTAATTCAGATTCATAGCTCTCCTTCATGGCAAACTACACCTGTACCCTATTGAATACAGGCACATCTTAAAGCTGAGTGTATCCGACACCACTCACAGCAAGAAGCCTTACCAACAGGGCTGCTTTCTAAGGAAATCACACCATTCCCAACACCCTATCTGGGAACAGTCAGACTGAAAGCCTTGCCAGCTGTAACCAGCCTTTTAGATTCAAATCCAGTATAAAATCCCCGTGCTTGCTTCCCCTTCTGGTACTGACCATGAAGCAGTATCACCAAACACTGCGCATTCCCCTCACGCCTAGAGAGAGGGGGACTTTCCTGAGTGAAATCCTGCATTACAGAACCACCAGGACAGACTAACCTGAACGCTATTTTCATGTCTGACTGTTGTAAAAACCCAACAGGGGGAGCTGTAATCTCAATTTTACAAGTGATTTATTTTTTTCCTGTTCTGAGGCACGTTCCCACCAACACTCTTTCTATTACTGATGCAGAAGTGGCATTATACCAAAAGATCACATTTAGGAGGCTGGAGACGGACGTAAACCGTTCCCTAATTTAATCCAGCTAATGAGTGGAGGCGGCCTAGGCTACCAAACCAGTAACTTGGCAATCTGGCTGAGCTGGCATGAGAGGGCACTGTGAAGGAGGAAATCTCTCGCACTCCTCCTCCCCGCCTCCAAGCGGCGTGATGACGAACAGACCTGAGGCTGCTTGGTGAAGCAGGGCCCATCCAGATTAAAAATCGAAGTGATAACTCTTTCTGGTTGCTGCCAGGCTTTCTTAACAAGTTAACAAGTCAATCAAGGAGGGAAAAACCCCAGCTCTTAAATAAGCTGTCTTTGAATTCTTTACATATAGGCAGGCAGCGCTCTCCACCCTATTTATTTTCAAAAGGAGGGTTAATAAAGGGCTTTATGGTCACAGAGAAAGCGCTTGCAAGTCCTGAGGACGCTTCACACTCCTGCTGGGTGACAGAGGTCCACACACAGACTGTGCTCGGCCACTTACCTGCTGTAACTCCCAGACTACAGAATTTGGGCTTGGTATTGCACCACCCTCCTTACCCAGCAAATGGCAAAGCCCTCCATGTTTAATACCAGCTCAAATTCCACGCTTGCCAAGGTAAACAAAGACCAGAGGACAGTGTCAACGCCTCCGCAGGCACCGACCTGATGGACGCAGATGTTACACTTGTCACAAAACACCATATCATTCCCATCTTCGCTGTCAGGGGACCGGCACACATCACAGATGACATCTTCATCGTACTCTATGCCCAGCCCTTCTTCAGTCTCAATCGCATGATTCATGTTCTCGTGGCAGTGCCGCTCCAGCACTTCAATCGTCTTTTCCATCGTGTTTTCATCCAGGGGCCCGCACCCTGCAGTGCAGAACGGGGAGGGGGGAATTGGGAGACAGTCAGGTGCTTTTGACCTGGTCTGAGATGGGGACATAAAGCACAACTTCCAGCAACTACCACAGCATACACGACTTAAATTTAAAAAGCCTTTTATCATTCACTGGCTAATTTTAGCAGGGTTTTATAAATACAAACAGAACGACTATTGAAGTAAAAGTCTGGGTTGTGCATAAGACAAAAAACATCACTCCAACTGCTGGACAAGGAGATGGCTGATCATTTTGATTTCTTGTTGCACCTGATAAACAGGGAGATGGAAAAGATAAATGACTGCTAAAACAGAGTGCCTTCTGGTACTAAACTGTTCTCTCCAGTGCCAGAATGTTTCTTCCACTCCCTGAACGTAAAGGATTACGGTATCATTCAGGTGGGAATTGGCCTTGGAGGGATCCAGCCCAGCTCCCTGCTCAGAGCAGGGCCAGCACTGAATCCAGATTAGGCTGCTCACAAACACACCCAGTCAGACCTTGAAAATCTCCAGGGATGGTGATTTCAGACCCAGAAAAGCCATGATCACTCTTGTGCTTCTTGAGGAGAGTGTCCTTAAAGCCCTGCTAGCTCTCTCCAGCAACTTCACCCTTCAGAGTTGCCTCACTCCCCACCTAGCAGCTCCCCAGATAAGCAGAAGCCTGCTCTCCGTTAGCCCAGGAGCAGAAGGCTATTTCCTCTTTGCTCGCCTCAGGATCTCAGTCTCCACTATTTCACACCTGCTACAGCCTATGCCCCTACCAATTAGCCCTTCCCACCTAGTTCCTCCTTTGTGAACAGGAGATGTTAAATATCTCCCTTTTGCACTCGTCCATGGAAGAGCACCAGCTGCACAGGCCATCCCACCACAACCCAGTTATTCCAGCAATATCTCCAAGATTATTTTTCATAGTTCACTCCACCTCAAAGCCTTCTATACCCACAACTCGTATGGAAAAAAAAAAAGTTTATTTAGCAGATTTTAAGTGGGCTAGCATGTGTGCAACTTAATTATTCTGTTAAGAACCCAGCATGTCAGCTGCTCAGAACTCTGTATTTTGTAGCAATAATACGTACAAGTTTAAAAAATGGAAGCATGTGTTTTTCCTATGCAATATTTTTAACCTTTAATGCCCTAAAATTAATTCCACCTGGTTTGGGCTCTTCCCCTCCTCTATCAGCCTGCAGAAGTTGCACGTGATTTTGGACGTGAAGAAGTTTCTAGGCACAACAGGTAAAATATCAAACGCTAACTGATCCAGCAACTCAGTTTAAATGTTTTTATAGCTGTTCATTACCTCGTTTTTCCTAGCATTTCCATCCAATTCTCATTCAAAAATCTTTAAGGAATCTCACACAGCAGACTACAACTCAAGCAGCAGCAGTTAACTGCTGCTTTAAAAACTAGAACACGTTGTGAAATTACCCATTTCAGTAAGCTCTTCGTTTAGCTCCTGGAGCCAAAAGATGTCCATATCATCCAAGTCATAGCGACACACCGATTCTGCCAATTCCAAAATGTTGATGTAACCTGGCTCTGTGGGCTCCTGGCTGGAGCAGTGGATGTACTTCCTGGGTCGTGTATACAGTACTTCTTTTACTTTTTCTGCTACAACCCTACACATGAAAATAAAGAGGAAACAGGGAGTTAGCTCCAGCTTTTTAAGATTCAGCCTTGAAAGACATGAAATATTTGTTATCAAGTGCGAAGAAATCTAGCATCTCACAGATTTTAAACTAGCCTGTGAGTGAAGCCAGGGTGGGAAGACAGGATTCTGTAAATGTCATTTCTTCACATGAAATATGTTAAGGTTTGCTACGTAGACAGAATCATTTTTAAAATGTAAGCCTGTGCATAATATTTTCAACTTAACAAATGCTACTAGCATGGCGATGCAAATGTTTTTGAAACACAGAAAGTATTATGCCGAAAAACCCTACAATCTTTGTTCTGTCTTCTTCCTAAACGATAGAAGGAAATCTTGCCAGCTTACAGTCCTCAGGATTCCAGCTTTTTCAGGAAAGCTTGATTTATTCTGCTGCAGCTAGGGAGAGGAGGAAGAGATGTTTGCTCTTCATTGGGGTTAAGCAGTCTACCCATATTTTATATGTGACACTTCATCCACGTTACATAACAAAAATAATACATTTGTAAGAACCATTCTGTTGCTGAGCAAAAACGTAGAGGGGAAAAAACAGCTAAAAATCATCCAGGAAGCAAAGGGAAAAAAATACTGGTGTTTTTAACCTTTCAATTATTTTAAGAGATAAAAATTAGTGCTTGCCTAGTAAACTAGCCTATGAGAATGGAGAGACTGACCCTAGCTAGATAAAGTCGATCTTTCTCTGCATTTGATGCGAGAGGCCCTGCATGTGAAAGGAAGCCAGGGAGATACTGAATGGAACAGTGCCATACGTGAGAAGCTCTGCGTGCTTTCCAGAGCTCGCCCTCCCCGGCACCAGCAGAAAAGAAAAGCTGTGGGAAACAAGGCCAGAGGAGGAAAGGAGGAGCAGGCAGCAGCCGAGCAGTATCCCACATAATTCTAACTGGACAATGTGGGCTGTCAATGTCAGCACAAACAATGCTCCTCTGCCATTCTTCTTCCCCCCTTCACCTTGCTCGTTTTTTCTCGTGTTCCCTTGTGAGCTTTTCTTTTCTCTAGTCCAGACCATTCTGTATCAATTTTTAACTCTAACGTAATACTGCTGGTATGAGATGCAATATATTTATTTTTAATAACTTGGTACTGACAATAGCCCCAGTGGAAATTAAATTATGCTGGCATCAGCGCTTTCACTGGACAATTCATTTATCTTCGTCTTGAAGACCATGCTGGCAGTAATACCTCTACACTAAAAGACACTTTTTCCACCAGGAAAGGTTACAGGACTACACTGTTTGGTTTTCCTGGTCTAAACACAAGACCAGAGGACAAACAATCTGTCTCCTGAAACTGACATCACTGAACTTGTATATTGATCAGAGGCTATTTGTGGAAAAAGATAGCAGAAGGAGTTAAAGGCTCTGGCAACACCAACAAAAATTGTATTATGTGAACAAGAGAGTAGTTTGATCGGGTACCAGCTATTCCTGAGCGCCTACTGTTCTATTTCTTCATGCTTTATAGAGAGGCTTTTCAAGTAACATGAAAGCAATGCAAGATTTAGGTTTATTTTTAATTTAACTTTCCACACTTAAAAGAGAAAACAGATTTAACCCATAGCACCACGCGACTCAGGAAAAAACAAAATCCCCTTTTTACACTTGTAATGTAGATACCATCATGGTATCTAGACAGAACCAGATCTGAAGTGCCACAGAAATGTTTTCCAAATTGGTGCTTGTTTGGCTTAAAAGCATGCCTGGAGGCTGATGCTTTGGAGGTGTAACCGTAACAACAAGGAAACGTGGGCTGTGTTTAGACCACCTCTTCTCTGAGAGGCCACCTTCTCTGAGCTCACATTCTGCGCACATGCTTGATGTGCAATCGCTATTACCTGAGAGAAGGCTGTGGAATTGTTTCTGGACTGGCTGGAACTTGGACTCCTTTCTCCCATTCCTGTTTCCACGTGTCCGCAAAGACGTAATATTCATCGGGGTTAACATGGTGAGAATCCGGTAGTTTCATGGCACTAATGAGATCCTTGCGGAACACCTGCAAAGGAAACCCAGAGAGAGGAGAGGCTTGAGAAAAAAGATTTCCACCAGGGGAAGCAGTATGGATTTTTCATAATCTACACTGAAACAATGCGCGTATGTTGTTAGTTTTTTTTTTTTTTTTTTTTAAAGAGTGCTGGCACACAAACACATTAATTTGAAGTCATCTAGATTATTGACTCTTAACATACCAGGTGCAGCATGGCAAGAATTTTCAGCTAACTCAAAACCACGCTGCTGCCTGAAGTCTAATCAGAAGGAAGAAAGCAAGCTGCTGCAGGTTACCAAGGGAAAGGGGGAAAGGAGGCCTGTACCTAGTTTATTTATAATATCACTTTCAAACAGCTCATTTTACTTGCCAGTCTGCATGCTTCATCCCAACTTAGGTACAAGGTTGCATATCTTTTTCCTCCGCTCAGTCAAGCTCCCTCTAATTGTCATATTCATCATGAGCTCAGAGCAGTTGCCATGGCAAAGTTGATGTACAGGCACTTGCTCATCTACTAAATCCATTTGAAGTTTTACTGGTCAGGATCTTCAGCATTGAAGACAAACAGCTGCCTACACTGAAGCACGAATTCTGCCTTGCTTTATGCCTGAACCCCAGCAATGCCACCACAAAAATGCAATCCAGCCTCGGGACTCCTTAGCAAACCTACATGGTGAAACACACCAGCGTAGGCCACCCGTGACAAACCTCCAGCTCTAACACCCAGCTCCTGGCTGCAGAGGATTCCAGTCTGACGAACATGCAACCAGGATTTCAAACCATTCAACCAGGATCTCAAAGCTTACTTGATGTAAATGCCTGTCAACTACAGGTGCATGAAATTCAAATAAAGGGCAGATGAATATTTTATTTTTTTTTTCTCCTTCCCACTGCTACCCTGCCCAAGTTTAACATCCATAAAAGCAGAACAGTGACCACAACTTCGTGTTGGGGAGACATCGCAACTAATTAATTGTGTTATCATAATGAGAAATCAAATCCTCAAAGGGCAATAAAATGAGAAGGGAAAATATCCCTGCAATAAGCTGTGGCAGGTTGAACTCTCTTCTTACTAATTCAGTTTTATAGCCAGAACAGTAATAAAATACTTCAGAGCCAAATATCTTCGCATACCCTTTTCAATTTGACAGCACCAGACCGGTTAATGCCTACTGCAAAAATTCTCAGCTGTTCTTGGAAATCATCAAGAAATCGTTGTAACAAAAAAAATAGGCACTGCACTTTTAAGTAGAAACAGGTATTGAAAGAGGCTGCTGGTAGCTCAGAGCACAGGAGTTGCTTCACTGTGCGCTACGTCTGCATCGCTCGTAGGCTGCCAGGAGAGCAAGTTAACCTGGAAGCTCAAAAATAGAGAGCAACTAAAGCCTCAGTGACAGGAGGGAAAGCATTAACGCTGTAAGCATCCATTTTAACACAAGCAGTATGTCTACACAGCAAAAATAAGATGTGCAGTGTTTTAAGCCATTGTAAAGAATTTGTAATTTTTTTGTTACGAATACAGAGCCAGGTTTGCGAGGCACTAACACGGCACAGTGCCAAAGAAACCCATAATTTTTCCATAAGGAAAAATAATCCAATAACTGAGAAATGCAATGGTTTAATCATTACAACGTATATTCCTCAAACCTTATCTGAGGGGTTAAGTGCCTTACAAACTACCTTTTAAAGCACTGAGAAACACAGACCTAGAGTGTTACATATCAAAACCGCTGTTTTTTAAACACTAAATGAAAAACGCTCTGAAAGGCAGCAGTACTCCAACTACATCTAACTACACTGCTTAGCAGCAAATTCATCTCCTGATTGTCCATTATGTACGTGAGCTGTATCATCTCTATTTTTAGAGCACGAACTTTATTTTTTGCCTGGCCACACGGTCACCATGCAGCAACATGAAGTTCTCCACCTCAGGTCGCTGAAGTCTACAGTGGTGCTATCACCGGAGGCCAAAGATTTAACCAATATAAATGCAATGGTTGAAACCTTCAGGGATCCCAAACCCAACTAAGATTTCCTAAGAACGCTTTCATTGCCATTCACACTTACAGCACGAGTCCAGGTGAGTATTTCCCGCAGACACCCAGAATCCTTACAGAGACACCACGATCTCCAGCTCTCATCATCCATCATCTCTTCACGCAGTAAACATGTTTCCTTATCAAGTAAATTTTTTCTTATCAATTAAGTAAGTTTTACTCCTGCAGTCGGCCTCAAGGCTGACTCAAAGCCAGCTCAAAGGGCTGACACACGTTCAGGACTTAGACAGCCAACTTCTCCTCATGGTTGTGTCTTTTTGGACTCTTCTGTGACACTTACTGCATCCATGAGGCAACAGCCAGCGCAATGCAGCCTCTCCTGGCAGTGACCCCTTCACTTCCAGTCAGCGCTCGCCTTTCGGTCACAGCAGTGAGCGTCAGTCACCCCAAAGCACCTACATTTCTAGCCACACACAAAACACAAGCCTTCAGCTGTATTTTAGCATCATCTGTAGTATCACAGAAACCAAAGAGAGCTCAATAATGAGCGTGCCTAGGCTAGCACTGTGTCCCCACCCACCTGGGAGGATTCAGGGCCCCTCGCGTGAGGCGACTCGGCCAGCACCATTGCCATGCACCTCGTACCTCACGCGGCAGGGCCCTGCCCAGCACAACTACAGCTGCCAGAAGCCACCCGATGGGGTCTGTACACACACCAACAGGAAACATCCACCTGCTGGAAGCCTCCTCAGAAGTTAGCGTGACAGTGGGATGTTTAAAAAAATATTTTTGGCAATTGAAAGCGTGAAGGAAGCGATGGATTTCAGCCCTGCTTACCGTGCGAGACTGCTCGGTCTGAACCTCTCCTGTCACGTAGCTGCCAGGAGCTTTACAGTTTCAGCTGAAAATGGTGCAGCAATTTGTCTGAATGAAGCCAATGAAAAACACGCTTGCTTATGTCACAATAAAAATACCAAGCGTTTTGTTGAGAAACTGTACAACTTTTTTTTCACACTTTAAAGCTGGGACTCCAGTTTAGAAGAGGAAACCTTGTTCTCTGGTCTTTTTGCTCTGCAGTGAAGTCTGACAAGATTTGCTGAAGCAATGAGAACAACTTAGGCACCACTGCAGAGACACGCTGTTGTCTCTAAGCCTTTAACAGCCTAAATCCTACAAAAATTCTCCACAATAAGCACGCTCTGCTCCTCCACGGCACCAACACCAAGCTACAGTGAGACCATGGGCCTGTGGATGGAAAGATACAGTTCATGTGTTTTATTTGTTTTTCAGACTTGGGAGTCCTATTTGTAAATTATGCTAGAAGTGCATGTCCAAGGAAAATGAACTTCTTGAATCAGGAGTTTGTAAATGTGGCACCAGGAGCTGTCTGACTTCAACATGAACTCCTTCGGCAAACACTGGGAAAATTCGACATTTAATCTTCCTCACAGGACCCCCACCCCCACGCTGACTTTGGGAATAAATCAAGGCTATCCACTAAAGAATATGGCTTTCTGGGCAATATCCTTATCTGCTAAAGATATCGGGGAGGCACATGCAATGCTACAGAGAATTATAGTAAAATACTAGTATCATAGACAGAGATCGGGTCTTAACTACACGACAGCCTTCTGCAGCCTCCATCTTCACTGAGCCATGCAAATACCAGATCTGCACAGACCTCAGGAACGTTTTGTTTGTGATCAATGCAAACCTAAAGCCACATTTGGGGGGGAACAGGGAATAAAGACCTCCTCCCTCCTCAAAAAGAAAAAAAACACAACAAAATGAGTCAAAAACTTAATTTAATACCTCCCTTACACGCTTCTACCACCGGCAACTGATCCTATTGCTCATTCAACTTGCCCAAATGCTTGTGTCAGTGAGAGCGAACAGACTGGGTCATCTCTTAAAAACGGTAAGAAAAATCCTATTTCTTCTCGTGACACTGAGCTTTTCAGTATGTGACCACCTCCCTACAGAACTCCACCGCGGTAAGGTGCTCCCATGGCCACGTAGGCCACCGCTGGGAACCACGTGGCAGAGGTTTAAGTAAAGCACATGTTAACCGCTCTGCTGCTGTTACAATTAAAGCAGGATTTCTCCTGGATTGCATCTAATTGCTTCACTCCTCAGGCTTCCCCTGGCGCCTGGCAGAGCCCCGGAGGAGTCAGCAGTACACACTTCATTTCCTCACGCCCGCTGTCTAGAGAGTCAGAAGTCTGGCTGTCCCAGGAACAAAGTAGAGATTTTTAAAAGGCAGGAGGGAAAAAATATGCCTTTCCCCACCCAGATTTCCCCAGAAACATGACCTCAGAAACATCCTCAGTACCCCACTCTAAAAAGAGAAAGCTGAAACACCCAGTAGGTTTCTGATTTTTTCACCTCCTTCACAACCCATCCTGAAGGCCAGAGATGAAATTCCAGGTGCCAAATACCCATCCAACAGGAGGCATTTTCTCTAAAATGCAGAGTAAATTACATAAGAACACAAGTTTTCCATCAGGTTTTCAGGCATTTTTTATACACCTCCACAATTATCTTCTTTTTCATCCCGAAGTCACCCATCAGCAAAGCTTACTGTCCCGCTGTAATTCGTAATTCTCACATTTAACACCATCAGCAAAAATTAAAGTCACTTAAAAAGCATCAGTTTATACCTAAAATCACCACATAAATAACACTGTGGACAAACTGTAGTAAGACAAGCATAATGCAGCCACATAATATCTGAGTACAGATAATCTAATCTAATACATGTAGTGTACTTCAATTTTTGTATAGATGTTTCACATCTGCCAAAGACTGCCCACCTACAGGGGACAGAGTTGTAAGGGACACACCACTTCCCAAAATTTAGTGGGCTCATCCTTGTGAGGTAGATTTTTTTCCTCATTAATACACTGCAACCTGGGCATTAATTTCTAATTTAAGGCACCTTATTACAAAGGAGGCTAGAGTCTCACGACAGCACAGGTTGGTTGGTTTGCATTGTAGCAAAGCAAATAGAAGTCAAAATAATTGTAAAACAGCCATGAAGCTACAGCTCCAGGCATGTATACTGACTGGACCTAAAAACTAATGATGTTCAAACAGCTAAAGCAGACAGAAGTGTAGCATTCAGCTTGTACTTCTCAAACATCTAAGTAATTTGGCCGTGCCCTGCAGTAAATCCTAGTAGTCAAACTCCTACTCCCTAAAACTATTTCCAAGGATTAGCCAGGACTCGAGCAAATGAAATATCGCACTTTCTTTGGAGCAGCCATTAATCTTCTCAGCCTCTTTTACTAGTGTTTATAGGAAAAACCAGGAAATCAAACACTAAATCAACCCCGCCAAATGTCTTATCTCTGCTATCTCTAACAGCACCATCTTGGGAGCCAGAAGCACATGCGAGAACCGTGTAAGAACACATTGAGTTTCCTCCTGGTTGCTAATCAGACATAAACTTTGGATTTGGGGATTAAACTCAACAATCAATTTTTAAAAATGGTATTAATTAAACAAGATACTTAGAAAAATCTGTACTCCTTGCCATCCGTTTAATTCCTTTTTTAATCACGTTTAATTCTCAGGCTCCACAACTTCCTATGCAGATGAGCTTCAGTCTTAATTACATGGTGCACGGAAAAGGACATCCTATTAATTCCAGCAGACTTCCTAACTTTTGGCCTCATTCATATTCTCCCACCCTTCCTCCCCCATTCCTCCATCACAGGACCGAAGCTCTACCTCTGCTTTTTGCAGACCATTTGAATTTTACTATCATGCCTGCGCATTCAATCCCAAAGGCAGAACAGCTCAGCCTTATCATAAGCAAACTTCTCCATGCCCTTGTGCATTCCGGCCACCTCTTGTTAAGGAGTTCAAATATCTTGAGATGGTATAAAAAGATAAAAAAAAAAAAAAAAAAAAAAAACAAACAGCAAGGTTGCACTCTGATTTAGATGAAAGTATTATTAGTTTCTTTTAATCAATTAACCCACTCAGGCTACAAACCAGCTCATTAAAATGAATAAGGGATGCTGACCAGAGGTCTTGAGAAGCCCACAGAGATGTCCAAGCTGTTGCAGTTAATTCAGGATCTTCTAAAGCACGCACAGAAAGGTGACAGACTCCTCTTCTATTATGCATGGGGCATGCCAAACGATATGATTTAATCATATTGCCCATTCATTCACAGAACAAAACCAACCACTTTCCAACTGCAAAAAGAATCCATTTTCTGCTCAGAGTCTAATCTTGCAGGGTGCTCCTCAGGATCAAGACCTACAATTTATGTGACAGTTAAATGCCACTAAAAAAAAGTTTCACATACCCCAGTAATGAAAGCAGACCATTTACTTGGGGAAGACAAGCTACATTTCACATGATAACACAGCTGTCGCTATCAGCAATGAGGGATTAAAAACTACTATTGCTGTGGGATTCGGAACCCTATTTGCAGGGAGAGGTAAAATACTGCCACCTTAGACGGGCAGGGTTTAAAAAAAACCCACAACACATAATCCTAACTTAACTCTCTTACAGTTTAGAGAGGGAGGGAAGACTGAAAAACAAAAACAACAAAAAAAAAAAACAACAAAACAAATCATAAGTTTGAGTGTCACATGAATCTCTTTGGCTCTTTTGTGCCCCCACTAGCCTGGGGGAAAAGAACTGGTCAGTCCTTCAGCATGGGCCAGCTGATGGGTTTTCCCTGCAAAAATGATTTCAGCTGTGCTGCCATCGTTTTCTGCTGCAGCTTCCAAGGAGATGGGAAACAGCAAAGTAGGGGCTTCATGCTGAGCCAGGCATCCAAGTGCCTCCTACCCTGCTACTCCCACGCAGCCAACTGTTCAGACCTGCGAGTCCTTCCTGTCCAGCTTCGAGCCCGTAAGAGGCAACTCCACAGGCTGCACGTGGCCAACATCATCAGCAAGATCTAGAAGAACTGTTCTGACTTACACTACTGGTGCATCTGTAACCTTAGCACTGTTTAGTTATTCAAAGTAAATGCTATAGCAGATAGCTTGAAGTTCCCATGTCAGTTGTTTGCGATAGGTTACAGCTCTATCAGATAGATTACAATGAGAGGCAATGCAAGGCAGAGCACTCCTCAGCCACAGCCAACTTTTTTTTTTTAATTTTATTTACAGAGGAACACGGCCACTACAAGCATGTCCTGTGAAGCAGCTGACAAATATACTAACCTGTCCGTCACGATATTGAAAATGAGCTTTTATTTGAAGAGGAAACCCAAACACTGGACAATAGTTGGACTGGAGATGGCTGAGAAAGTAGAAAAAAAGCCTATGTATCCACACACAACATAATTGAGAGAGCCAGGCTTACTGGCACGAAAGAAAAATTAATGTACGAAGACCACGAGCAAAAATATTCCCAAACAGCTATTTATAGCTTTGACCTTTTAGATTTTCTGCATCACTAACTCAAGAAACGTCTGCTGCCTGGCAAGCAGAGGTGAATGAAAGGAGAGCACTGCCAACTTGCTAAAGAGATCCCTTGCTAAAGGGATGCTGTCAGCCTGAAATTTTCAATTTCTATCCAATGGATATTAGACAACTCTTACCACAAAAAAAAACTTGCAGAATTACCGTAACGTGATTTTTTTTTTTTTTTTGAAGGGTATGTGGTAGGGTCAGACTTTGCTTTCCAGCCTTGTCACCAGCTGGTGCATTAACAATCAATTTCAATGCTCTGCTGACAGCAGCACTTCACGCAGTACACCATTGCGTGAGATCTCCAGCATATGCTTTCCTAGGGGTTGGAAGGAGCGCTTGCTTCCAGCACAGGGAAAGGAAAAAATAGAAGGATAGCCAGAAGTCTTACACACAAGGGGTAGAGATTATTACTGTCACCTTCCCATCCATTCCTCTTCTTTATCCTTTTTTTTTTTTTGTGGGGAGGGGGAATATTGCAGTATTGCACTTGGGACACTCCTGCAGAAGAGGACGTCATCTAAGATTTTTTTTCTTTTTTTCTTTTTTTTTTTTTTTTTAAACTGGGAAGGGAGACTCTTAAACAAAAAGCCACCATAAAAATGCCACTGTTACTGGAGATGTTATAAAATACATTTTTTTTAATTCAAAGCGTACATTCCAAATTTTGTTCTTCAAATTTTTATATTTATCAAGCAATAAAGGGTTCAAGATTTTATCTTGGGATAGGTAGAAAGCAGCAAAGAAGGTCACAAGAGGAGGAACTGAAAACACTGCTCCTTTTAATTCCTAGAAGTTATGTAAATAAGAAAACTCGTAGGCTGAATACATGGGCCACATCTTCATAATTGCTTGTACACACAGACGCACATGAAGACAGAATGGAGCAACGGGAAAAAAAACAGTAATGGGAGCATCCTTAGGAAGACGAGATAAAAAAATTGGGCAGGGAGAAGGGACTGGTAAGGGACTGGGCACTGAGGCATACTTGAAACAGCACCAAGTCTGGCAAAGCGTTTGTTTCTGTCCCCGCTTACCCAGCCTGGCAAGCAACAAAGCTGCTGCGACGACAAACGTGAGCAACAATTTCAAGACCTCCGTAGCCACGAGCTGTTTTAAGATTAAAATTCTCACAGAACCGTAATCCTCAAAGATCAATGCTTTAAAGGTAAAAAAGTGTAATAGGGTTTTCTTTACCTTCTTGGTGGCTGTAAACAAACATTATAAAGCTAGCTCTGGCCAATTTGGGTTGTGTGGAAACACTCACACAAGATTCCCTTTTCAGAATGAATCAGCGTGTTGTGTTCAAACAACTCATGATAAAAATTAAGCTTCCAAAGAGAGGACACGCTCTGAAACCTTGCTCCTACCAAACCAAATTCGCCTGGGAAGCAGCATTCAGAAAAGGCAGCACGAAGCACGTTTGCAGAATAGCTTCTGCTCTACGAACACAACCTTTATATTTATGCAGCCTCCCACAGTAGCATCTAAGCAGCTAAAAAGCTGCTGTTATGGTACTAAAAATTACTTCTGGGACATAACTCTGGGTTTTAAATTCTACAGAAGCAAAGTGTGTTGTTTTGTCAGTCTTTTTCTCCTCGGTAACCTCGGGCATCAACAGTCATACCAGCACGCTGAAGGATGCATTTGGAGGGGACGTGACAGCAAGCAAGGGGAATTAACTGCAAGAAACATTTTCCCGTTTGCAGTTGTTATCTGACTTCAGCCCTTGAGAAAGCAGGCACCAAATCTGGAGGAAGAGGCAGACAACAAAATCCTCCCGAAAAAGGGCAATCGGTGGCGATGGTTGCTAGGGTGGATCTGAGTACTGCAGTGCACACGAGCGCTGAAGGAAAAAGGGACTGGAGTGGTGAACACCGATCCAGCGACAGTGGTGATAGGAGTAACGGGTAGGGACGGCAATTAAAATCCTTGCTAAAGGTAACCACAAGAGTGAGAAAGTGGCAGATGATGATTAAGCACTGTTCATACGTAACCTGCCCAGTGGGGTGTTCCTGTTTCATCCTAGAGCAGAAAGAAGGCAGCCTGCCCATACACACACACACACACCAACCACTTCCTTCGCTCTCAAATCACAGATCCATCCCAGCTTTTTCAATTTCAAAAAGACACGATATTTCAGGGGAATAAAGCACCACAAGGTACCGTCTGCAAAGCCATAAGTCATTTTGGGACATCAAACACCGGAGCTCCTGCATTAGTCACAGGGTGAGGAAAAACAGTGTCACGGAGCATCTGACAGGTAACAAACTAACGCGCTGGCACCGGTTCAAAGCTCGCTATTTCAAGCCTTAGAAACTTGAAAAACACATGACAAAAACCTACCCGTAACCAATCTTTAACCCTGGCTCTTACCTCAGCAGGTTTCTTTTGTTCATTTGCTGGTGTTTTTGACTTGCTCCTGTATTTAGAACAAGACGAGAAGGAAGTGGAAGGACCTGTTAAGAAAAAGAAAAGAAGTAAGAAACAGAACCATTACAGCTCGCTTCAATTCATTTAATTGCTCGGTGAAACACAAGGCACTCCAATCTCCTGAATTATGATCGTTCTTGACAAGATGTGGGCAAAAAGCTCTTCTGCAGTCTGTAGGCTTGATTACAGCTCCTCCTGTTCCACTTGTTCTTTGTAAAACCACAGCGCACCGCGTTTATGGGTACATTCTGCTCTGCCCGACACAAGTGTGAGTAAACAGAGACAAGCATGCAGACCACTCTCCCTCATTTCCTTCCTAGCAGAAGTGGAAGGAGGAGCACAACTGAGGACAGAGCTTGTAAGTGTTAGAAAAACAAAGTGAAAAAAAAAAAGCAACGATACTAAAGGGTGCTGATGAGAGAGGCAGAAAAGTACAGTGTGATGTCTAGACGTTCCTGGGCACGGTGCTAGTTCAGTACATGGCTGAGTCGTAACAAATGTGGCAACAAATCCCGGTTGCACACAGCATGGTCAGATGGGCATGGGCTCCTAGGAAGCAAACAGACCCTGCCACGCAGAGGTTCTTTGCGGGCACGAGGAAGGTGCAACCTCAGCCAGACATGTGCCAAGGAACTCCTAAAACAGAGCTTCACCGACTTGTCTACCAGGCCACGGTGTAGATGAACCAGTGTCAGATACTGCAACACATAAAGGCTCGGACTAAAGGCTGAGGGTCTGTACCGCATGAGACAGCAGGACTTTTGTATGGCCCTAGCCATAGGAAAGCTTCCTCTGGGCAGCAAAACTTCTCTTGAATTACAGATTTATTTTTCGCAGCTCTGAAAGGGAAAGGCACACAAATTTCTCCTCAAATGCTAAGCAGGCTTAACACCCCCCCAAGTTTACAGGATCCTTCGCCTGCTTTTCCTCCCATAACAGGGCTCAGAACACAGAAGGCGAGAAGAAATCAAGCAAGAAACATTGTTTTAATTATGGGAGGTGAAACAGTTTGCCCTCAAACCACAGAAGGAAACCACAAGGGGGTGACAGACCAAAGAAAAACTAGCACAGGCTACTTACTCTCATTGTCTGAACTGTCACTGGTGCTCAGATGCCTGTGGCGTTTCATCCTGACGCATCCTACGGAGAGAAACAGAGTTGGTGGCGACCATCAGAAGAGGACAGGCCCCGACTCGCAGGACCCAGCACCCCAAAGGCAGGAGTACCCCAAAAGGAGAGCTGGCGGGTGTGAAACTGCAGCAGCCAGCGCCCTCCAGCCCCTTGGTGAGCAGAGCTGCAGCACGGCCAGGCGTGGGTGCAAAACGCAGCTCACCTGCAAGGGGAGGAAAACCAAGCCCAAAATGAAGCAAAAGGCAGACGTTAAAGGGGAATAATTCCCCCAAATGGTGAGCGACGGCACTGAAATCACCCCGTCACAACTTGGGCGACCCAAGAGCTTGGCTCTGGGAGGCCTGACAAGCCACGGAGGGTATCAGTGAGGATCTGCGCCTCTTAAACAAAACCCAACCCCACGCTGCTTAAAGGGAAGAAAAAGGAAAGCGCAGCTAAATAGCCCGCTTGTTAAAGCCTGCACATTAGTTACTGTACAATGGGTCTTGAGATTATCCAAAGACCAGGGGATAAACAGGATTTCCGGATAAGAAAAGCCTATCCAAAGGCTTTGAAGAGATTGCGACCCAACTGTTTGCAGCAGAATTGTTTAATTTAGTGGAAATTTTCAGCAGCCTTTATGCTTAAGAGCATGAGTTTGATCGGCGCATTTAGATACAGTAATCAAAGTTTAAAACTATCCTTTGATCTATCTTTTATAGAAAGCCATTGCCCACGCTGCTGGAAGCCGAAGAGGGAAACGATGCATGCATTTGTCAGCTGGGTCTATGCACAGCACCTCCGAGTCAGGTATTTAACCGGGGGGTCCACGGTTAACGGGATGGGGCATCGCAAGGCGGCACGTGCAGCACTTTAATAGCCTTAAATCACCTACAGAGTCCCACCAGGAAACAGCTTAATTCACGTTAATTCCCCTTCTCAGCGCCCAAGCAGGCTGGGGAAGCAAGGCAGCCACAGCACACAGGAAGAGCTGGGTTAAAAAGAGGACCCACAGCGCTGCGGGGTTTCGCTTCCACCGCTCACCGTTCAGCTAAGAGACTGCAAAGCTCTCCTGGGCAAACGCTGCCTGACGTGGCCCAGAGGAGCTGTTCTTTGGATGTGCTTTGGTGGCACCAGGCTTGAAATTAAGCTCTAGGTAATGAGGGATGAAGACAGCCACTTCTGTCTTGCCAGCTCCAGCAGTTTAAAGGCTCCAGGCAGGAGCAGCTCAAATGGCATTGCCCATGCCATCTCCTTCTCTGCCAGCAGCCTCCAGCTCTGAACAGCCTGGTTGCCAGACCTTCGGGCACGTTACGGGACCTTGGGACGTGCCGAGAGGACGCAGGTAGGTGTGCACAGCAGCACTCCCCATTGCCACTGCTTAGCAAGAAACGCGACCACTCCGTTCTTACGTGCGGATGAATTTTTGAACAGCTGTTAAAAGGTGCTGAAAGCTTATGGCAGGAGACTCTCATCTTTTATAGTCTACATAAACACACGCAGCAATAAAACCTCTTCACTCCGTCTTAAAGACAGGCGGCGCCCAGTGAAAGCGGGGTTAGACACGGGGCCGAGACGTGGCCGGGAACGCCTGGGCACCCCAGGGAGGAGAGCAGAGGGAGGAGGTGGCTGCTTCAGGGGCAGAAACAAGCAACAAAACCAACCTGAGAATAGGAAGCACACCTCTGCCAACCACTCCACAGCGAGGGAAACATGTCTGGGGAAGTTGTACTTGGGCAGTGGATTTGTAGCAGCTCAGGCAGGAGATTTACACCTCCGCCAGAGCAGAGAGAGGCAGCACAAGCAGTCACCCGGGGTAAGAGCCCCGCGCAGCAGGAACACCGTGATCCAGCCTGATTATTTTTGGGGCAACATTAACCCCAGTAACTGCAAACAAACAGAGCTACAGCACATCACGGGAGCTGCTCCCAGGAGGATGGGTTATGAAGAGGATCCACGTGCTCCGTGCTCTCTGTAGGTCCCCGCTGGGAGCAGGACTCAGCATCCTCGTGCCTCGCCTCTGCTGCTCACGGGACAGCCTCCGTCACCGCGCCCCGACCACGTGCCTCAGGAGTGAATGAAGGAAAGAGTGAATCACTGGGAAAGGATCAAATGTGAAGGTAAGCAGTAAGCTCAGCAGGGTGCCAGTGCCCTTTCCCAACCGCAGAACACCGGTTACAATGAATGGCACGCCAAAGACAGAACAAAAAATATCTTTACACACAAAATGAAAAATCATTTTAAATTTTTTTCATAATGTATAAGAGATACCTTTTTTCACAGAATAGTTCAAAAATAATTTAGAAGACTGCCTCAAGTAGATGCTGCTATAAAGAAGAAAGAGATGAGAAGAGATGAGCTGTCATTAAGAACAGGATGGAAATCCCGTACGGTGAGCAGCAAAAGCCATCAGCCTCTCTCCAGATCGCTTTATCTTCTCTCTGGCATTTTGCACGTTTGCCTGTGGAACTTTTGGTCTGGATCTTGAGAATTTACTTCCAGTAGTTCCCAGGCACAAGCTAAGAAACACGAGTGTAAAGCAACTGAGAAATTAAATTGTGTAGCACAAAGGAGGTAAGTGGCTCCAAAAAATCCCATCCCAACCATACACCTCATTTCTCAGCCACCAAGTAATAACTCTCACTACCCTGGAAGGAAGTAGGGGTGCTTTGGCGACGGACTCCAAATGTGCTCAAGCCTTATGGCCAAGCATAGATCACCTTAGAAACAAGCACTAAAAATGGGAAGATAACATGCCTAGATATAAAGCTTTTTTTTCTTTTTTCTTTTTTTTATATATATCAACAGAAGGACTAACAGATGATGGATCACTTCTACGACAACAAATACAAATTCCAAAGATGCTCACCGTCAGGGATCTTTTGAATGAAAACTAAAACACAAGAGTGACGTTGAGAAACCACCACACAGCAAGCAAAGAGGCGCTCGACTCTCTGGGCAACTACTGCAGCGGAACATTTTCTGGAATTGTTTTTAATCCAGTTTCCAGGATGGTTCCTGGACTTGCACCGTGCTCCACAGCGGCCGAGCCTCTTCTCCCTTGTGCAGTCAGGGCTGGACATGCATCCCTAACCCATCCCCAACAGCTACGTAGAAGGGCCACGACTCCAGACAAGAGGAATTAGCAAAGCTGAAGACACCCTCCTCCCTGGCGTCACCTCACAACATGAACCCCAGTATTTCCCAAGACACAGCTGCTCGCTTCTGCCGCCACTCTCTCAGGTGGAGAGGAAAATCAGCATGGCACTGACTAACGGCACTTCCCCTTTCTGAAAAAGCTGGTTACTGCACAGCTCTCAAGGAAATCAGTCAAGCAGTAGATGTAAATGGCCGACAGTTACAATTTCAGCGCCCCAAGTACCTGCAGAAACACCAGCAGCAAACCCTGCTCCCTTTTCAGTTTGCATCAGAGCAAACTGCATTTATTCACCAAATAAAGCATCGAGTTTATCCTCTTGTCCTGACACATCTCTCGGCATCGCGCAGCAGTAACAGAGGCAGCAGGAAGAAGGATGAGGTATCACTGAGCCCAAACTCACACGGCACGTTACGCGAGAGACACCAGAGGCAAGCACACAAAATGAATCCTTCAATCCATACGGGATTTCTGAAATACACAGAACCTCCAGGGAATAACAGTGCTTCCTTCCTGGCTTCACTCTGTCAAACTGAAGGGTTCAGCACATAGGCGAGAGGTTCAGTACCTGTGGAGAGCCGTACGGAAGGAAGAGGAAACCGAGAAATTCAATGAGCTGCAACACGAACACACACGAGAGCGGTGAGATTTTATTTCTTTGCATTTTAAAATAGACCGAGCAAAACGGAACTGGCCGCGCTTCTAAGGAAACTTTCAAGTGGGATGAAAAACAACCTGCTTTCTCTGTCTTGTTAAAAAGAAAAACAGCGTCTGTGTACGTACAACAAATGACAAGCTACATGCAACTCTCAGACTCAACTTGTGGACTTAATATTGCTCGTCTACGCACAAAAAAAAATGCAGAGGCAGTAGGTAGAAGTCTTCAAGCCTCCAAAATGTGGTTTATGTAACTGTTAAATTTAGATTAGGAAGCAAATTATCTTGAAAGGTCTCCAGGAAATGTAGTACAGTAAAACCATTTAAATAGGTCAAATTTCATAGTCAACTGCCAAGGAAATTACGAAATATGAGTAGAGTTAATACAACCTTTCAAATAACTAGAGGAAGAGAGATCACTCGTGTTTGGGTTTTTTATTATTATTTTTTAATATCCTATCCAATCTCACAAAAAAGGCTATATAAACTGGAAGAAAAAAAAAAAGCACCTACTCAGAAGTTGGGCTGGCAATTATTTGCCGCAATGAGAAGGTTTGAAAGGTTAAACAATTCAGAGGGAAGGCAGCTCAGGAAAGAAGTAACGCTGCTTCTTTGTTTCTCTCTAACCTGAGAATTACACAGCTTAGTAACGTGCCTCTAGCCCTGATGGTCACCGAGCTGTGTGAGTACAGATGGAGGGCGAGTGGTGGCATCACCTCCTGCCACACGGCCAGCAAAGAGCTGAAACCATCCCCGGACAGATGTGTTGCTAGCAAGGCACGCAGCCCCGAGACCACCCGTGCAGGAGCTCCCCAAGAGGCGGGGAGAAATCAAATCCTGCTCTCTTCTCTGCTTTCTTCACACACGGGAAGGAAAGCACAGCCTGATTTTCATCCCTCTGAAGAAAGCCGCGTGCGTCGGCCTGCACACAGCCAGCCAGATGGGCTGGGCAGGCACTGACATATTCCTGCCCATTGAGCACTCACACCTTTAGCACGAACACCCTGAAGACGACACGGATCTGAGCAGAACCCGTTCCAAGGAACAGACAGCGTCAGATGGATGAAAATTCAAGCAAGTACATGAACGTGCACGTGGCTGCACTCCCCTCGGCTCCAGCCCCTGCTGCACACAGTACCACTTGTGCACCGACTTGCGAAACAGCAGAACTACTGTTTTCCCTAAAACATCAGCTGGGACTTGGGCAAAAAAGGTGATTTCCTCCAAAATAGTGTATTGAATTTGAGTTAAAACCTGTTTGCAAAATTAAAGAAAGAAGTGGTGCATTTTTTGCTGCTCCAGGGAAGGCTCCTCACCTCCCCCCCACCCAGTGCTGCCAGGGGCCAAAAATTTAGGGCACAGCCTCAAGGTAGGAAACACAGGTAGGGGACTGGGTGCTATCAGCAAAGAATGCAGAAATATATGCACTATTTGGGATTAAGAAAAACCTGTTTTTTCCATCGACATCATAGACAACAATTCTCACACGCTGCAAGATTCTTAAAATAATCCAGTAATTTTTTTGTACTTGCTAATAAAAAATTAAAGTAGGTTTCGCCGCTCTTGTTTTGTTTTTCTAAATCTCAAGCGATAAAAGCACTGACAGTAACCTGCATTAAATATTTTATCTGTTTTGACTCGTTTATTTCTTGCTATAATGCTTTAAAGAGGCTAACTGCTTTGCTGCAAAGTTTTGCATCGCTAACAAAACCTAATGGATTGCGAAGAAGGCAGAAAACATAAAGATGTGCCTTTATATCCTATTCAAAGGATGAGAGAAAGCAACGACACATTTTCCTATTAGGAAACATTAATTTGACCATTTCTTTCCTCATCTGACAAGAAATGGTTTTCATTTACAAGTTCAAAATAAACAATCTGGATGCTTAAGTTTTCCTAATAAAAAACGGCACCGAGGGGATCATTAGATACAATTACAGAGAATGTCCTGTCACAGACAGCACTCAAAATATTTGGAATATTTCAGTATTCAACCAAAGAGCTGGAATCCTACTATATTTTCTACTATTTCACTTTATGACACGTTTATGTGCAGTTATTAGTTCTCTATGTCAAAACATGAAAACAAAAACTTAAAGGAGTTGTTAGCACACTTTTTGGTGTAAAAAATGTTTATAAAGACAACAAACTTTGTCTTAATATCCGCTAAACTCAAATTACTTTTAATGGCCAGACAACTAATGTAACGTTATGTGCTCCAAGCTGTAATACGCAAGGCACCAAAAACGTTTCAGTCAGATTTAAACAGATTTATGGAAACATGATTAACCTTCTAGGCTCATATAAATCACCCATATAAATCTCAAGTGGGAGATGACAGCAGGGAGATGTGCTGCCACATCTTTATTCACAGGTGAGAGCCCAGGACACGCTGTAGCTGCTGCACACCTCCTGGTAGGGAGAGGCCCCAAACTGAACACAGCGCTCAGGATGCAGCCTCAGCAGTGCCAGGAGTGGGACAGCCGCCCCCCTTGCCATGCTGGCCACGCCGTTTCTGATGCAGAACAGGATGCTGGTGGCCTTCTTGGCCACCTGAGCACACTGCTGGCTCACGTTCAGCCAGGTGCCGACCATCACTCCCAGGTCCTTCTCTGCCAGGCAGCTTTCCAGCCACTCTGCCCCCAGCCTGTAGCGCTGCTTGGGGTTGTTGTGCCCCAGGTGCAGGACCCGGGGCTGAGCCTTGCTGAATGCCATGGAGTTGGACACAGACCACAGATCCAGCCCAGGGAATGCCACTGGTGACAGGCCATCAACCGGACTGAGCTCCGTGCTTCATGACCCTGTGAGCCCAGACATCCAGCCAATTCTTCACCTAGTGAACAATGCACCTGGCTAAGCCCCGAGCAGCCAATTTCTCCAGAATCCCGTAGGAAAGCACCAAACCGCTTGCTTACTTTACTAAAATCCAGGTAAACAACATTCGCAGCCTTTCCCTCACCTGCTAAGCAGGTCACCTTGTCCTAGAAGGAGGTGAGGTTAGTCAGGCAGGACCTGCCCTTCACAAACCCACGCTGGCTGTTCCTGATCACCCGACTGTCCTTCATCTGCCACGTGACGGCACTCGGGATAATCTGCTCCGTAACCTCCCCTGGCACCTGGGTCAGACTGACAGGCCTGTAACTGCCTGGGTTCTCCTTCCTGCCCTTCCTCTTGCTGTCTGGTTTCAACTGCTGCACCCACAGAGCCAGATGGAAAAGCCTTTGTGGATGAGCAACACTAATAGATCACTCA